AAAAATGTTTTATTTGAAAAAAACGAAATTTTTTCAGACCATTAAATAATTTTTAAACTTTAACCCCCCTCCCACAAAACCAGACGCTCATAATGGTGTAGTCTAACTTTTGACCATTATGAAGATTATGAACAGTTTGGAGTTCATATTTAGCTTACACTTTGGATGGATGTTGAAGTTTAGGTCCAATTAATTGCACCTTGCATCGTCCTAATATGCCTTTTACCATTAACGAAATGATAATGATTTTCATGTCCAGTGACTTTGTTCAAAGTTATTTAGCCCTTCATTTATCTTTTTTTATATTTGGCTGTCCCGGTACGGTACTTCAAAAATGTTTTATTGCAAAAAAAACCGAAATTTTTTCTGACCATTAAATAATTTTTTAACTTTAACCCCCCTCCCACAAGATCAGACGCTCATAATGGTGTAGTCTAACTTTTGACCATTATGAAGATTATGAACAGTTTGGAGTTCATATTTAGCTTACACTTTGGATGGATGTTGAAGTTTAGGTCCAATTAATTGCACCTTGCATCGTCCTAATATTCCTTTTACCATTAACGAAATGGTACAACCATTGTGCAACCCATATTGCTGTAAAAATTAGACTACAGTAGTTTAAATGTCGCTACACATTTTGTGATTTCCCCATAAAATATCATAGTTACTCCTAGATAACTTACCCATGGTAAGGATTGCTGCTAGCTAATGGGATAAAGGCAGAGTCAGATTAGGCCTAATGATACCGCTATTTTCTTTTGCTTTTTAAAGAGGTAGGAAAAAAGTAAAAACCAGATTTGAAATAAATTTACCAATTTTTGAAAGTAGGGCGGGTGAAACTTTCGGAAAACGCCTAAGAGTGTTTTGTAGAAAATAATTCCTGACCATGAAAAACTTTCAAATATTTGATAGCTCTTACCGTTTTCGAGTTGTAGCTGTTTAAAAACGTAATTTTTCGTTTTCAGATGTCCATTTTGGATTTTTAGGGGCGTGAAAATTTGAAAATAAGAATTTTGATCATGTTACCGTTAATTTAAGATCATGTACAACAATGCTATAATATTTCAGGTCTCTAGCACGTTTCTAAATGGTTCATATGCATATGGCCATACCAATGTCGGCAGCTTTCAATAACATGGGGGGAATTTCTAAATTTAGAGGAGGTTAAACTAAAAAAATCGACTTTTTAGAATTTTCCTAAGGGTTTGGAGCCAAGACCTACAATCGTGCCAAATTTCAGATCTCTAGCTATTTTCGAAGTGGGTAAACATTTGTATCACCAGTGAGTGAGTGAGTGAGTTACATATGCGAGTGTATTGTATTGTTATTAAAAGCGGAGCAGTAAACCAAGCAAGATAACAAAGTGACTAAAATGGAAAGAATTTATAAAATAGTAAATCAACATACCAACAAGAACCAATTCAATACCAACAAACTTAAACAAGAACTTAACCGACAAGAAATTAACTGGTCAATATATATCGTAGGACCAGTTTACCCTAAATTTGTATTTCAGACATCTTGAAAAATAAAATAAGTCCCCCTGTGCAGTAACGTACCATACTCCTTTTATCTATGGTACCAGTACAAAGATTTCACCAATACAGTAACTAGCTGGATCTGTCGTCATCCAATAGAACGCCTTTGTTCTCTTCTGTTGTTTTTGTTTGGTAAAATATGCGACAGAGGAATGAGAAAAGGAGTTTTTGCAAGGAGAGATTTGCTCAGAACTTTAAAAAGACCGATGGTGGTAATTCAGGTTGATCTCGAATCAAAAGCAATCGCTAGCATCACATTCATGCCACCAATTGGAGCTCCGAGTGTAATTTTGTAACTAATTGGTGTTTATAATTTCAACTCAAGTTGTTACGTATCACCCTGGTTAAATATTAAATTCCTCTAAATTTCCCCTAGTCATAATCTACGTAACCATCTGAACGAATCTATAGATCTTGTCAAAGTAGTTGAGTTCTGGTCGCGCATGGTGTAGTTGTACTGGTACGCCACTCTCTCTCCACTACCAGTTCACCAGCTCCACTTCCACATGGTCCGGTGCGTGCGCGGGACCGCTGCGCCGCCGACCAACGCGACGGTATGCGCAGGATGTCCAAACGACGCGCTCGCCACCAGGAGTGCAGCAACACCTAGGGGAAGGTGAGAGAAAAGAGTTGCGCGGCCTTGCGCGCGATGCTTGTAGACCTGCGGAGGTATGCATTGCTAACTACAAATTACAGTAATTCAAACGACAATCTACACAAGTACGTAGAAGAGGTGATATTGTTTGTAGTGCAAGGAATAAACCAACTGAGTTAAAATTGCACGTGAAAAAGATTAGGTTTCGGATTTTCAAAATTATTTTGTAAATAATTAAAGAAACAATTACGAAGTTTCAGTTCAGCCAGTGCATAGTTTGGATTTTTTTGAATATTTCCAGTTTGTTTGAACTCGATAAACACTTAACCATATGCCAAGGCTGATTTTACCACCTACTGTATAAAGAAAGTGATACTCCCAAACTGCTTCAATCTAAATTTCGTCTACACTCATATCTCACACGAAGCTTGACGGTGACTAATCCAGGCCTGGTGCATGAAAACTGGAGAAAAATCGGATCCGACGTCAGACAACAATGCCCCAGAGAGCAACGTCGTCAGATCGGAGCGGAGAGCGTCGGACTATAAAACGGGGTTCCAGTCCACTTAAAGCCTTGCAAAGTAATTTTGTCAGAGGGTGTCGGAGACTTGTCGGATCGGAGAGCGTCAGACTAGTGGTTTTCCTGCTTTAATGTAGTAAACAGAAGCAGCCGGCGGAACCCTCAAATGGATTTGTCAAAAAAGTCCAAACCAGCTGTTACAGCTTTTTAGCGAATTTCCCTATATTGAAGTAGCTATTATCGTAGGTAGAACGGTAAGACCTGGACCCGGGACCAATATACATTTTCATATTGATATCACTAGAGGCCAAAAACACCATTCGTTCCAATTTATATATACAGGGAGCGGCAAAATGATCTGACGGTTTTCTTTGCCCTTTGCCGCCCTGTCGTGCGGGTGATTGGCGGAGGGTGGTTGAGATAGGGGCGTTCAAAAGCCTACGTACGTGCGGTCATTTATATATAGTAGAGTAGCCATGGAAATGGGGCTGTGGACAGCTGGCACCATGCATTTGTAGAGGAAGTGTTTTTTGTTAGTGGCAATTCATGTGTACCCTTTCAATAGACGTTACAATGTGGGTCAAAGAAGAAAACTCATAAACTCGAAACACCATTAATCTGTGAGTGGGTAACTTGTAACTTCAGAGCTACTATGTTCAGCATTGAAAAAAGTCAACAGGCCATCCAAGGTCTGCCCGGACGCTTGTACCTGTCGCGGCGTTTTTGCTGCTCGTTTAACACGTATAACAACAGCTCAATTTGTATAATATATATATATATCTATGTATATCTATATATATTAGTGATCAACGCGAGCGTATTATCTTTTGCCTTAAAAGCAGCTCGTATGGCCCTAAAGCGAATATAAATATTGTAGCCTAACTTTCTCACTTTTTATAAGAAACAATCAATTATATTAATTATTGCAAAAGCTTAAAATATGGTGGACGGTAAACCATAAGTTCATACACACACACTGGATTGTATCGGCATTTTAAACTTTAGAACAATGGAACAGAACTTCATGAATTCCTAATACATTACTAGAGCGCGTGTGAGTGCTACAATGGAATCTCTTTAAACACAATCACAACAATAACAACCTGTTAGTGTCTTGTTGCCTACCGCGCTCTGCTACCCTGATCCAAGACGGTGACCTACGAAGCGGAAGAGTTGAGCCGTCTAGCAGACGGAAGCAGAACAGCTGTTAGGTTAGTTGACGTCACAACATAGCATAGATGTCGTTAGTGTCGTCAGCTGCCTTCTTATCCATCCGCTCAACCATTGGCGATTGCGATTGACGCAAGGTCAAGAGGTGGAAAGAAATGCAACATGAGGAAGAAGAGGAAGAAACAAAATTGAGAATTTCTCAGTACGAACTTTGGAAGTAGTTTTCACGTCCAAGGATGTACGTAACTGTAATCAGTAATTCACATTTTACAATGTAGTTACTCTATAGTTCGGCCGCCTAGAAAACGACCTGCGCGCTAATGCTAAACCAATGCTGGAGGAGGTCGTTTTCTAAGCGGCCGACCTATAACAAGAACATAGATTGCATTGATGCACTTCTATCCTAGGTTTAAAATCCTAGTTCTTTGTCAGTTTAATTTGCAATCGTTATCATTTTATCACAAGAGCAACCGTTTTAAAATTGTTTTATTTATTTTACATAGCTAAAGGCTTGATTATCGTTACATATTTTCTTGTGTATCTAAGTCATGTAAATATTCATTACATATTAAACTCAATATAATGTGTAATGTACGTTTTATCTATGGTAATATATTTTGTAACAATGTCAATCTTGGCAAATTAATTCCAATTAGAATTCAAAATTAAATTTCACCCTCAAAGAACAAACAGTGGGCATCTTGAGCAAAACTAAGGTCAACTAAATAAAATACTGTATCAACAAACATAAAAACTTCCATCGAAGCTTATACAGCTGTGTTAAAAAAGTGGAGAAATAGGCCTAATTACTGTTACAAGTTTTTTGTTTGTTTTTATCACCCTGAACCAAATATTATAATTGGAAATCCATATAAATCCATATTGGAAGATGCATATAACTCGAGTCTTGGAATCGAAGTTATTTATCCTAACTGAAATTCTAGAATGTACAGTACTATTTTGTAAAAATATTTCGACAATGTATTAGGACCTAAAGATTCTCACATACGTGTTCGATTCCCATTCCCGGCACACCCATAAAACCTATTATGTTTCCTCACCCATGTTTGTGCCAATATACAAATGTAAAATACCTCATTTGAGAATGCACACGTGTAGAGAATGGAAAAAAGGACAAAGTAATTGAATTTTATAGTTTAATGAACAACTAGTGTTTAGTTAAAACAACAGGAAACATAGTAAAATATGGTTATTGTTAACAGTCTTATAAACATTGAAAGAAAAACCCTCTTATAATGTAGAGTGATAAAATGGTTTTTTGTGTCATGTGTCCAAACAGTAGGCCTTACAGTAATAATTAATCAACATTTGTTAAGACAACGGCAACATGGCACACTTAGGTAAAAACATTAAAATCTCTAATTTTACACCAACACGAGGTAAATTTTAGTTTTATATATTTTTTTTTAAGATGTTTCTTGGTGAGTATTGAAGGATATTTTCGTAATTTTCTAGCATTTAAGACATTTAGAAGATCTATGTTGTGATGAAAGTGGTTGTAAAATTTGCAGCTATTTTCACAAAGAGGGTTTTTTGCACAAGTTAGATCGGAGTAAAAAGGGGAATGCGAATTACCAGGACATTCTCTCCAGGTTCCAGTTGGCTCCAGTATAGCATATAGCTGGAGGGTTGGCAGCATTGCTTGAACACAGATTTGAGTTAGGTTTGGTTTATCGTCATGACGTAGACTGCACAGGGAATGTGTTTTTTATTTCACAAATCACTTGGAGAATATTCATTTGACATTGAAGCCACTGGTCGTCATCGAACTTTTCCACATGAGGCAGCAAACTTTCGAAGAAAGACATTCTTCTGTTTTCCTTTTTTGTGGATTGTATACATTTACTGTTATCAATTTCTCCCTTTTTGAAGTGTATTCTCTTAACACGTTTTGTATTAGGAGGCGTGCTTCCTTTAGTCTTTGGAAGTGCATGTGGGTAGCCCTCAAGTTCAAGTTCACCTTCCACAACGTTGTTGCAGCTTTCGTCAGTTTCCTTATCTTCGTAAATTTTCGATAAGAATTTTAGTCGTTCATAAAATATGTACTTTCGTTTCTTTTTGGCTAGAGGTCCAGGTTTTTTGGAATCCTTCACCTCTTTTGCAAAAGCATCCCGAAGGTTTTTCCATCTTTTCATTATTTCTTTACCTGAAACAATATGGATACGATTAGTTATGGGTGTGTGGGTGGGGGGGGGGGGGGGTGGTCAACGTTTTCCATAGCTAACATTTAAGTTCATGTTTTGAGGGAAATCTTTTCATGAGGAACTAGTTTGTAATCTACACTTTGAAATTAATTGATTTTTTATCCCTGCTTGTGAAAGTGAAAGTGATATCTAAACTGTATAGGATGGAATTTGAAATAACCTCCATCCATTACCAAACAAATTTCATTTGACTTGACTAGTATTTACGAAATATGGACCTTTGAGTGTTAGTATCTGTAAAATATAAAAAAAAATGCTAATGATTAAATATCAATTTTACTACTGCTAAATAAATTTTACTACTGCTAAATAGCAGTTTTACTACTGCTAAGTTTGTACAAAATATCAAAATACTGTATTTTGCCGCTGGAAACCTGCAGACTAAACGAATTTCAATATGTCAGATTGGATTTTAACTAAAATATCTCCACACACTAGTCATATAAATTCCCCGTAATAATATTAGCCTAAATTTAAATCATGTTAAATTATATTTAGTAATATTCAAAAAAATATTACAGTATTAACATTTATAATACCGGTATTAGATTTAATTAGTACTTATGTTTTACTGCTAGCGGAAGGGGAACACGGTTTTAGTCATCGTAGCCCTACGTTAGGCCTAAATAAATAAATTGTATGATGGATGTAATGAAAATGGGGCATTTCCATGTCCACAGATGGTAGATATCCACCTGGGAAGGTGATATCTTCTTCCCTTAAGGATAAATAGCCTACACACAATGGGCTACAAAGTTATATGCTTTCTTTATGAAATTTTAAGTTGACTTCCCATCTTGGGAAAATAGCAAAATCCATCCTAAAATAAAGCTGATAAAAACAGAGGGGATATTTTCCACGTGTGCTCCCACTATCTCCGCGTTCCGCCATCTCCGAACCCAAATCTGTCCCGCCACCTCCGAATTCTTGAGTGACCCTTGTAATCCCGTCACTGCCTGCGTTGTTAGCTGTCATTGCATCCACGGCTGCGAAGCCCCGTGGATGGAAGATTTAATGAAAATTTAACCCGTGGGTTACGTTAGATTAGGTCAGGTCAGGTTAGGTTAGGTTTGGACGGAAAGTCTTAACGCAGGAAGTAACCGAGGATTATAGGTGTCACTCTGAAATTCGGAGGTAGCGGTACACGGAGGTGGCGGGACGCGGAGATAGCGGGAGGTAAGCATTTTCTAAACATAAAAAAAACATCAATAAACTCATATTATTTGAGAAAATTTCACAACCTATTGCAAAACTTTAAGCTGGAAAATTTGTAGAGTGAATTTTATGCAAAACAATAAAATTATATCTGTTGCTTAAAATCGAGTAACCATACACAGAAATCAGAAATACAATCCTAGAAAGTGATTAAATTACATTTCAAAATGTGAATAGCCACTAATTGATTAATTGCAAATATAAATATAGCCTAGTCATCTTTTACAGTATTTCATTTTTAAAATATGTCCAGGGTGTACAACTTTTTTTGCCAACTAATTTTGTGTCTCTCAAATTACTCTTCTATGGGACACTCTGTGCAAGAAAAGCAAGATAAGAGTTTATCAATAGCCTATGTTTACTGCCCCAGTGCACAGAAATGGACGAACATAATTATGACAATATTATTCAACAATCTGCAGACAACAATTTGTTATTGACAAAACATTGAAAAAAATACACCCAATAATAAGTCAACTGTCAAGTTATGTTTATAAATTGTCTAAATAAATCCATTAGGCTGTCAATCGATTATAGTACTGGTAATGAGTTATTTTTGGTAGAGAACACCATACATGACGTCAACCATGTTTTTTTAAACAATCTAATCCTATAGTTTTTGACACTTAAAAACGCACACAGACATTATTCGTAAATTAAAGACCATGTAATAACAAAAAAATATTTAGACGGCGCGTATAATGATCATTTTCATGATTTTGAAATTTTTTGTTGACTCCCAATCCCAAAAATTGTAACTAACATTTGGCTCAATTCAATTCCGATTCAGCTGACGTTGAACAGGTGTCACTGTCAGTGTCCTACAAAACAAAGTGCTACTGCTAGCATCGAGTACAATCGGCAATCATCGGATAGCTTCGTATCAATCTTATCATCAGGGAAAGCACGAACGAAGTAGTCAAAATTATGCGACGCAGCAAAAGCCTATCTCACTCACACAAAGCCTATCACACTCACACACCCATAAAACAAACATTCACTTTTCAGTGTGATTAGGCCTACACAGTCTCAATTTGGCTTCATTTGATTGTTATGATTCGCAAAACGAATTGTTTGATAACTACTCATTACTGTATGACAACATTGCACACAAAACAAATGAAATTTTCCATTCATGCTACAACAGTATTTTCGCATCGCGAAGTATTAGAAATTTTGTCATTGTCTTATATAACTTAACAGTAATACGACATGAAAATATTTTTGGATATAATTACTTACAAAACTCATCCCTCACGTTTTCTTCCAACTCTTCAAAGTCGTTGCACAATTGAATGCACACTTCTTGCCAAGCTTCCCGCGTAGCGCTCCTGTCCCTAAAACCGTCCACTGTTTTGTCCCAGAGCACAGGCCTCTCTTCGATAAAACGGATTAATTGTTCACTGTCTATTTCGAACACTGCTGTCACTGCTTCACCTTCCGCCATGATTGTAGTTCAAAATTAACGCATAAACAATAATCGGTAACACCAATACTGTGTAAGATACAACTCAAAACACGATAACAGACTTGTGTAAACGCTGACAACGAATGGCGGAATGGAATGGCGACGAGCGACAGCGGAGTCTGAGAATAAACCGTCGGTTTGCGTGGCAGTGGCGGGTTGACGTCGACGGCGCGGCAGCCATTGCCACTGCCTGCTATAGTGACGAAGCTATGGAAAACCCGATCGTTAGAAACGCTATCTGATGTTTTCTCTCCGCTCCGCGCTGCAAATAGGTCTGATTTGTTGATCGCCAAAACGGCATTCTGACCGCATTGTTGAATTTTAACCTCAACATGATAAGATTCTCTTGATGTAACAGAGGCAATACTGAACACTGTAAAATGTTCTATTTACCACATAATTTTGACTTATGTTGCTGCAAAAGATTAGACATTAAACAATATATGAAATTATTAAACATTTTAAGAAAATAATTTATATATAAAAAAAACTTTTTTAAAATATCACGTTTCTAAACGTTTTGCGCCCAACGTTTTTCGTTTTAAATCTTCAAGTATTTATTCTTTCCACATATTTGTAAATTATTTTCTACTTTTTAATGCATTTAAAACCGTGGTATTAAAAAAAGTGTTTATATATAAATTATTTTCAACTTTTTAGTCTTTAATGTGTATGTATGTAGATCTGTTTTATATGACCTGTTACTGCAATACATAGCCAAAAACTTTTGATCTGCAACCAGATAAAAAGGATTTGGTTCTTTACTCATCTTTACCTTCAAATGTTAGTTTATATTTTTAAAATCTCTTGGGAGCAGAACCTGTAACCTCTGCTCTTTGAACAAACTTTCAAATTAAAGTATTTTCACCACACTATGATGTTTTTGGCTGTATTACATACATATACGTTAATTGGTGGCTGAAAGTTACGTTTTGCTGGCCATGCCAGCTGTCATCGTAATTTGGGGACCGAGCAGGTTTTTACAGGCCGGGTCCGCAAAATCAGCTGTCCGCTTACTTACTTAAAACATGAATGCATTTTAAATAAACAATCAAAATCCATAGCATTGCAATAGAATTGTGTTTTTGTCACCGTTGCCTAGCAACTATTTATTTTTATTTTTGCTGATTCCTCAAATTATTTCTTCACATAGGCTAACCATAAAGCTGTAACTTAGTTGTGTTGACTATCAGTGTGCATTATTATAGTGGTGAATAATGGTAATAGGGTACAGTGTGGTGAAAGTACGGACCGAAATGGTTTTGCAGCTCTCGATCGATTTAAAAACTTTTGACGAAGTTTTAAACGTTTTAAAAACTATCTCGAGCCGGCAAAACCTCATTTTCGGCCCTTGGTACAAAATATACTATTACAGCTGACTTCAATTGGTATATCTGACTATTTACATTCTTCCAAAATGTAAACATTGGAAATTTTGGAATTGTTTGATTACTTTGTTTTTTTTTAAGATAAAATTAATTGAGACAAGCTGAAACAAATACCTAAACTTTAGGTATTTGTTTCAGCTTGTCTCAATTAATTTTATCTTTAAAAAAACAAAGTAATCAAACAATTCCAAAATTTCCAATGTTTACATTTTGGAAGAATGTAAATACAACCTTGAGATGTATACATAAAGGTCCTAGGTTAGGTTGTAGGTTGTAGGTCCTAAAGCATAAAATTATGCTAAGATTCAGAGATGAGGTTGAATGGTGTAAAAAATATAGGATTTTGGTTCAACCAATCATTTATTTATCATCAGTTGATTAATAAAATATATCAGAGTGCAAACAAAAGGAATGATAAATGAAAGTTATACTGAATCAATAAATATTTTACCTCTATGCTGGAAGCATATCTTTTTCCTACTGTTACCTAACAATGTACATGTTCTCTCACTGATTTGAGAAAGCAAAGTGGTCGATTCGCCATTGTAGTGTGATATAGTGTTATATAGTCAATGGATTCGCTCATCAGTGAGACAATGTTAACATTGTCTCATTCTAATTACTTTGTCTCACTCACTCCAGATTTGCAACATAAAGGCACGAAATAGTCAGCGCGTAACATGCAGACAAGGTTGTATGCACACAAAATACGTTGGCAGCACTGGCTGTAAATCAGCTGGTCAGCTGTTGTACTGTTGTATCATTAAACGTCATATTAAAAGTTCACTTCTGTGTAAAAATATGTCACGTTTCTTTACCAATTTATTTGTTTTATGGTAACTGTAGGAAAAATATAATGTTCAACTCGAGTGCAAAGTGCAATTGCCTCACTCGAGAAACCATTCCTCACTCGCCTACGGCTTGTGAGTAAGTATTTCTCTCAAGTGAGTCAATTGCTCCCTTTGCTCACTAGTTGCACAAATAACTATTCTTATGTAGGCCCACACTAAACATGTTTTATTGGTTGCCAAAACAAATTAATAGCCCACCGTGAATCTACAAAAAAAAGTAAAAATTATCAAATAAACGTGGACGTTATATTGGATTTTGACATTATTGAATTAAAATTCATGGATTACATAATATTTTAAGAACTACACAAACACCATCAAACAAAATGAATCGTTTAATGAATTTGGATGACAACCAATTAGAACAGTTAAATTCAGACTGTGGGAATTTGGATGATTATTGTCCTGCAGCAACTGACCAATTTATTAACAAAACCAAATATCAAATTAATTAAAAATAATACTAGTAGAAGATTCCTTTTCTAATTTGGTCTAATAATTAGTGATGTGACTGCGAGGTAAGTAAAAAGACCACAGTTTGCATAAATACACTCAATAACTCCAAAGATGTAAACTGTACAAAACATAACAAACTAAACATTTAGTATTCAATCTTTTAACATATTATAAAGCTTGCCCCCTAATATATCCTATTACATAGTATAAATCTTATATAATGAACAATTAAGGATAAATTTAAGAACATATAAGCTAAAATATGATTTGACAAATTGATTACACAAGTTAATGTTACGAGTCAGGATTCAAGATGTACTTCTTGATCTCATTGAGTAGCATAGAGCCAACCACCATCTTCTCGCAGTTGACTGTCAGCTGTACAGAGTTAGTGTCGGGGAGACATTGGCACGTCACCAGGACTAGGGACTTGGACGCTAGAGTCTGTCCTGCAAACCTACCAACAAACAAATCGACTTTAAACTTACTGGATTGCTTACAGTACACTCTCTTACCCACACCTCAGCAACAGGGAAACTGTGTTAACATGAAAAACTGTAGAAATACACCAATGCCTGGTTACGTAATGTTTTCTTACGGAGTAGTACTCCCGTAACAATGAATTATTGGAAACAACCAGTGGCGTTCCCAGGATTTTATTTCGGGGGGGGGGGGGGGGGACCACCAGGGAGTCTGGGGGGTATAGAATATCCCTCAGAAAAAAGGAGGTCCAGAGGCCCGTAGGAATGTGGAATTTTAAGCCTAAAAACAAATTTTCATACGTATTTGAGTTCTAAAATGTGCTCAAGCAAATAGTAATTATGTTAGCTAATAAAATATGAAATATATCGGGGGGGGGGGGGGGGATATATCCCTCCCATCCCCCCCCTGGGACCGCCATTGGAAACAGCACTCATTGGGTTGAATTTTGCCCAGAATGATTATTATTACTGTATATATTATTTAATACACACACAGAAACATATCCTAAAAAAAATTAAATTATTAATTATTTAAAACTATTAAGCTTAAAACTTTAAACAATTAGATTTTATCACTGTGATAAGGAATTAAAAGACAGTCTCTACATTCATATAAAAGGTCAGTTGACCCCTGAATGATTACTTCACTAGATAAACCACTAGACTACCAACCACCACATAACTAAAGAGGTGTCAAATGATTACCTGAGGATGTTGGGTTCGACAGTCAGGATGGGAGCAACATTAGCAGCTGCCAGAACCCTCTCAGAGAGCGCAGCACTGTCCCTGGACCAGGAGACGCTGGCGGAGTGTTCATTCATCCCTCGTAACTTGCCTGCAACAGGTAAACATTATAGCTGGCAACTTCCTACTCAGAAGGTAACAAGTTCAATCCATGGAAACCCGATAAATTTTTATAGGTTCAGAATTTGACCATAGACAAAAAGAATTAAATTAGACTATCAGCCTTGCTGCGGTTACCATAGGTTTTGGCGCAGAGCGGTTACGTAGTGCTAAAGCCGTAACTACATGGCGCTCCCAGCGGTGTGCGCCAGAACCTATGGTAATCGCAGCACAGCTGACAGTCTATATTTAATTATTTTTGTCTATGATTTGACCCAGCTATCTACTAATGGTCCTGGAAAAAAAATCTGATTTTACTGAATGAAGCTATCATCTTATCCATTCAATAGTCATCATATATAATCCATTCACACACAAACAAACTTAAAAGAATTGAACAGCTTCCCCTTAAAATAATTTGTAACTCTTTCTTTTAAAATGCCACTGGCGTAGACAAAACAGTGGTGTAGTGGAGCGGTACGTTCCCACTCTGCCTGTTCCAAAGACCCTGTATATTGATAGGCGACCCATATTTTTCCAATAGCATTTTTGAGTGTTCACACACTAAAAAAATTACTACTAAAACACTGGATAAAAAGAAAAATAAACAGAATCAATTGGATTCTTGGGTGTGATTTCCTTTTTCTAATGCTTTGTTAACAATTCCATACTTGCTTAAGGTACTATTTGTTGTCCGGTGGCGGAAGTGTGTTAATAAAATACACAAATTAGGTTAGCAATGTTAAAAATAATTTTATACTCAAATTAACACATCCATCATACGCAAAAGCCTGACAATTTTTAATGTGGGATCATCTTATACTCTATACCACATTGACTATGCAGTACTAAGAACTGATAAGTTGTAAATCTCAAATAACAGTTTTTGTGATATTTGCTGTCCTAAAAGCGTCAAAACCCTCAAAACTGAACATTTTCCTTATTGCTAATTTTGACTATAAAAATTAACATGTACAATTCACTATTGTATTGACACTATTGTAATTCTTGACGAATTAACAATAAAGAATATTGTATTGTATTGTATTGTATTGTATACCAAAATCAAAATCCTTAACTCGAAACACCAATCTATAAAAAGCGTAAAGGTAAAAAAATAAGATAACGTACTTTAGCACCTTACAAGGATCCGTAGGGAAGTTGACATAATATGCACAAAAAAAGGAGATGTTTCCTGAAATGTTTAAAGCACGACTATCTCCCATAAGACCTGAACTGCATGGTGGACGTAGAGTTGAGTATTGGTGTCTTTGGAATTTATCCAAAAAAGTTTTACTGAAAAAAATCCAATAGTAACAGATGCACTAAGCAATATCCCCCAGCTAACCTTGCTCGGAGGTGAACAGTGTGACAGGCATGGTGACTGGTCGCAGCAGTTCCCCCACGTGCGGTTTGAGAGTCAGTCTTGCACTCCCTCCCTGCTCCCAGGCCAGCTCCAGTGTCACAGGCTGCGTAGAGTCGTTCCACGCGACACCTAGAGTGCCTTGCGCCGCGCAGTTGGGGCTTAACGATGCTACTGGGGCAAAGTCATGAACCTCCATGCCAGCCGATACCGTCTGGTGGACAATTGTACAAGTCATATAGGAAAGTATTAAGAAACGTTTTCTTCATAAAGAACTTTTTTTAACACTTGAAAACTGGTTCAACTGCTGGATAGGGTATTAATTAACAAGGTGTAAGATATTTTACCTTTGCACTATGGAAGGTGCTAACATTTTTGGTTCTCAGGTTGCCATTGGGTTGCCATCTTAGGTTAAGGAAAAAAACGGGACATGGCCCCCCTTGCCCTGGATTTACTTAAATACAGGCATATGGAACCAAATTTGGGACCGTCCCAACAAAATCGGATCAGGTGGCAACCCCAGTTTGCAATAACAGAGCATATTCCCATTAATTTACCCACCCTAAAAGCTGAACAAATACCTCCCCTCCTCTCCACGTCATAAGTGTGCATTTGTAAGGTGTCTAAAATTTTAGGGACTAAGCAATTTTCAGCAATTTTACGGGATACCTCATGTATAAAATATAGGTTATGCAACATTATAATATGCATTTGCAGTAAATTGAGCGAAGCTTACTTATACTACAGAAATGTGAAATATTTACAAATTACTAGGGCACATTGTTGAGCGCTGAAAAAAGTAGATAGTTTTTTTTAATAAACACATAACATTTCACAGTAAAATTAAACTCCTAGCTACCTCTAATCCTGCTTAAAAACTTTACACAGATCAGTATAAATATGTATTGAGTAGTTTATTACTTCCTCTAACAAATGTAAACTATTTAAATAAATTATAGATATTGGGGGTACAAAATTATTTTGAGAACAATCAGGACCCAGGATATAGGCATATCTAAGAGCTAAACTGTTCTGTTGTACGATCAGATTTTACCACAACACAAATTTAAGTTACAAAACACGACTAAGGCAAAAATTCCCGTCACAAGACTGTTCTATCTGAATCTCTTTTTAATGTACTTAGTATGTCACCTTCAGAATACTCTTTATAATTACAGTGTAGTGTGAATGGTTGTCTCTCAGTTACCTTGTTGGCGACTCTGATGTCTGTTAGAGGTGCCGTCGTGTGATTGGTGAACGTCAACTGAACTGAGGTCATGGTGGGACTAAACAGATGTGGAGCTCGCGTGAACCTGTACAAATATCTTTATTATAACACTGTGGCTCACTAATAAATATTGTATATCTAAGAGGTAAAACCTATAATAAAGATCTTTTTTATCAAACTAGAGTTTTATTAACTAAAACAAGTAGGATAGGTGGAGATATAAGTTAGGGATGGGCGGGTCTCAAAATTGTTTGTACAGTACTTTTACAAGATTATATAAAACAAACAGTTAAAAACGCCTGCAGAAATTCAGTGCTATACCCGCAATACAGGAGCGTGTTGTTGTTGTGTTTCCTTTACGAAGGTGTTCTTATTTAATTAATTCTTTAAGGCTACGCTACATGTAAATTTTGCTTTAATTATTTTATCATTTTTAGGAATAAGCTATTACAGTAATCGTGGTAAGACCTGGACCCGGGACTTATTTACTTTTGAGGTCCATAGAGGCCAAAAACACCATCGGTTCAAATTCATATACTGTATATGTCCGTTGGCCCGATAACTGGAGCAAAAATTATCCGATTTTCATGAAATTTGGTACAAACGTGTAAACGTATGTTTATTTGAACGAGCTTACAAACCAGCATGATCGAACTATGGGAACAAGGGTTTATGGGGAGTTTTATGGGGTAAAAATTGTTTTTCCCATTTCTGACCATAAAAACATAAAATTTAGCAACTTCTTTCCAAACCATTTTGTTGAGCTTAAAAAAACAAATAATTTAGTACATTGAAGTGTAGTTATAACAAGATATCATTTTCAAATCCCCTTCAATTTATTTAACCCTTATCAAATGTTATTGCAAACCTCGATAAAAAGCCCATTCGTAATAACATATTTAATAATCCCCTTGTATGTTATCGAGGTTCTACTGTATGAGTGGAGGTAGTTGCTACCGTGATGGACAATACCATATGTTGACATGAGAAGCTGGTTACCTAGAACTAACACCGAGGCCTCCCCCGCTGACTTTGTTAAGAACCTCGATACTCTTGGCTGGAATGTATGCTGCACTGGCCACCTGACAACACAAACAATTTGATATTAAAACAAATAGATAACAGAAAAACTATTTATTTACTACTTAGTAGAGATGGACACTTGATTAAAAAATCTCATTGGTTCGGGCAAGATTTAATTTTCTCCAAGACTTTTTTGAGATGAGATTATAAAAAAACAATAAGAACACCTTTACAAAGGAAATGCAACAACAACACGCTCCTGTATTGCAGGTATTGCAGAGACTTTCTGAATGCGTTTTTTAACTGTGTACATCTCAAAAATCGGTAAAATTGGTTTATCCGGCAATTCGTTTATCCATTATGACGCTAGACCAGGCTATACCGGATAAGGTTTTACTGTATATGATATCAATATCACTGAGATCAGAAGTGGTGTGCACGTGTCAGTTTTGCATTAAAAAATGTCTTATTTTATTTTTATTTTTATTATTTTAAGATTTTCATAACCATTCAAGTACTTGTAAGAGACTAGTAAAAAAAAATACCATAGTATTTTGTAAACTCGTTTCGTATCATATTTACAAAGTAAATAAATAATTAGTTATTGTACTTGATTTGTTGTTTGAATAGTGCTTTATTGTTATTTACTAACCATTGTAAAACTGCGCGGATTGATTTGCGGTCCTAAAAGTAACTTGATCTCGTCTCGAATTATGATGAGAAAAAATAATCTTGTTTTGAACTTGCAATCCAGTCTCGTCCATCCCTTGTGTTTAGGAGATTGAAACAATGGACAGTAAGAATCAAGAATCAAGAATTTATTTGCCGTTAGATAACACAGTTACAATAGGCTTCGTCAACATATAATTTTTTATAAAAAGTCAAAGTATATCAACATTAAAATACATGATTTAAAAATTCCTCAGTTGAATAAAATGCCTTATCTTTAAACAGTAAACTAGAATAACAGGGTAACACAACAAAGTTGCGTTATATACTTTGATTTAGTGTGTCCTTTTACAGAATGATACGTATAGGCTGTTAATACCCAGATAAATCAACTAATATGGTACTGGAAAGATGTACAGTATTAAAAAAAACTTAAATGGAATAATACGGGGGCCACAGCAAACCTTTTTTTAGTGTGACCTTGCAACAGTTAATTTGAACTAAGCAGCAACAAAAAGCTGTGATACACAATGAGAACTGTCAAAGTAGGATTGTTCACAGTTATGTTTATGTTTTAAATTTAATGAATAATTTGTGATATTGTGTGACTGTTTGATAATTTATTTTTTTCTATTGTTTAGGTTCAGTGGTAGAACATTGGCTATGGTAGTGTGTTATACTATATCATACCGTAAATTTAATGAACCAAATTTTATCAAACTGTGTCCTCCCCCATTGCAAATGCAGCTTGAGTATAACTGCAATAAGCATTTTATACTTATATGCCAACCCAGTACGAAGGACGGGTACTCTGCTAGTTGGTTATAAATCTGATTAATTACTATCTTATCAACACCAATTAGTTGCATTAAATTTTTTTTATATATCAACCAATCTACCTTACGAAATGTGGTAAAAATTGAATAAATCTATCAACAGAATAGGTTATTTCATATTTCTGGTGCCAAAGTGAGGCACTACAATCGTGAAAAGAAGAAAGGATTATATCCAGCCACTTTTTGGAAATGCTGTTTTTCTACTGGTAAAGTCAAGTTCTATTTAAATTACTAGACTTTCTTTGGTGGGCTCTTCTATCCGTGTGAGAAAGTTCTTAAATAATAATTTAACTTGTCCTAAACTTTGCACCAAAAGATTCTTTGAATCTCTAATCAACAGAAAAAGTGACCTTCAATAAAATGATAACTTCTACAAGGTCACTGAATAGTCCCAAGTCAACGTTGAACACTCGGCAGGAGAACGGAGAGGAGCGATGGATGTTTGCTAATATCTGATGTTTGACATCTCTGCGCAGAGACTTACTCTGACGGTTGTAGAGGGAGCTGAGCAACTGTGGACCTGTCTGTTGTTTCAGTTGGTTTAGTTGATTGACTATCAAAACCACCACCAAGAAAATCACACTGAGTAGAAATGTTGTGTACAAATACGTATCCAATGAAACTTCTCTTTCCGACAGAATAAATGTGTGATACCCCACAATGATGGCTATTAACTCCACAATAGTGGTCCCAGTGTATTCTTTGAGTTTAATTTCGGCGTTTGATAACTCTCCTTGCAAAAGCTTCAAGATTTTGAAGTACCCAACTTGAAGAAGATTTAAGTTCAGCTGTCTTCCTGTAGTCCTTTTTTGAGTCAAAGATTCATTGGAAGATTCGCTGTTTGCTTCATGCGTCTTGCTCATTTCCTTTACAATCGACAGATGTGTTTTTCTAATGCTGCTCAGGAATATTACGATGGTCAAGCCTTGCACGAACCAAAAGCTATTACAATGCAAAGTTGTATAGACAAACGTGATAGGGATGGTTCTTGGCAGATACTTCCAAGCTCCATAGGCAGTACCTAAGCAGTTGAGGCCAGCAATAGCCCATGAGGAAGCTTGGTACAACTTCGGCATAACCGTGCTACTTTCAATACCATTTTGTGGCGTCAACTCACATTTAATTTTCTCAAGAGTCAAGGCTATAGATGTTAGAGTCTTGTGGTCAAGTATTACCATGAATATGGTCAATTCTATGCAAGAGGTTCCTATAAATCTAACAATCTTTACTAACCTACTATCAACACCATCATAGGATTCTCTGTACAGGTAGATGAGTATCTCACTTGCGTATATCACTGTTATCGATACACTATAAACAACCTTGCCTATGTGATACTTCAGTGTTTTCAATGACGTGACATTCGTTCCTAACACACAGTTTAACCAGAAAAGTGATTTGAAATGTCCAAAATTTACATCCATTTTCAAGCGATGGGTGATCTATGTAGTCTTTTTTAGTCTGTTGTGTCTTTTTGTTGCCAAGTGACTATTTCCTTCTATAATCGATATTCAGCTAAATGAAATACATTACATTAATATTTATTTATTCAAAGTGATATCAATAACAATTACTTAGTGAAATAGTGAAGTTGAAGATTAAGAGTAACTTTACACAATTGTTTTTTTTTTGGCACTTTCCTGTGAAAGGGAACATTCATTATTATTATTATTATTATTATCGATGATTTCTTTTCGATATATCAATATTTTTGTTTTCCTTTATGACCCATATTCCTTCTGTTTTAAGTTGTATTCAGAGCTAAAAAGTTATTGTTGAACATTTATTTGTAAATAAAAGCACATTTGGATTTGAAGAAGAAAAATACAACCCATACCTGTATCCCAGCTGTAGCTGCATTTTGTGACGTTGGGGTAGCTACAAGGGGAGTCAAAAACCCACCTAAAGACGGAGTCATCAGAGGCGTCATCGTTGGGGCTTCTGTAACAAGTTATTTAAAAAAATTTTTAAATTTGTGTATGTTATAAAAAAAATTCAAATTTGAAACACTTGAATAAAGTACTTAACTACAACTTCTGTCGGCTAATTTGGAATTCATTAATCAACACATTTCTAGGAACATTGAATATCCTCATAACATTAGTAAATAGGTTCTACAATATAGTTTGTTTGTAGTTAGCATTGCCTCTTGACAAAACAAAATGTATGTGTAAAGTTTGGTTTCCGTAGCTTGGATAATTCTTGACAAAAACATTTTTGTAAAAAAAAGGCGGCTAGCGGCTAAACAAATTTTTTTTACCTATGTTTATACAATATGAACTTTTTTGTTAAGATTGATTAGTAATATCAGCCCCTGAAGTTTGTGACACCCTTTTATGAACACCCTGTGTGTAAGGTGGATTTACAAAAAAAAATACAATCAGCCTGTTTTATTGATATTACCTTCAGTAAAGTCTAGCAGGAGATCCAAATTACTCTTGGCAGTTGCTGTTGCACTTTTGTTAACAGTTTTAGTTGCACTTGAAGGTGTGGTAGTGTGTTTTTTCTTCACTGGGGTCACAGCGACAGGAGTGTCTGAAGAACTGTCTTCTTCTTCACTATCTTCTTCTGAAGAATCCTCACTCTCACTTTCACTCTCTACTGCCTCCTTTTCTTCCTTTTTGGGTTTGGGTTTCTTCTGTAAAACATGTGATGAAAGATTATACTCGTTTATTAAAACTTGCCAGCTCATAAGTAAATATTATTCTTGACATGTTTCTGTTGTTTGTTGACTATCATAAATAAATAAATATCTTGATTGAAACCGGAAGCGTTTACAGCACTAACTGTATGTGCAGTAATTAATTGGAAAATTACAAATGAGTGGAATACTATGTACTTAAAATCCCTCCCAACCTGGATTTGATTACCAGAGAATGTTTGTATATACCTTAACAAAACCCACATTTCTGCTTTTTGTAAATAAGTTAAAACCTACATCCAAACAGTAAAACTCCAGCTATCCGATTTGATTACAAAATGAATTTTAGAAACTTATCACTACAGTAATGAGAATTGTTATAAAAGAGTCCTGAACATCTCCCGCGGTTTTGTATGCATCCTAATCATCTCTCAATCTCTCATTGTATGGAAATATCATTTTCGTCTTCTATGATCATGGCAAAATACCAAACATCTCCTGCAGTCGCGTGGACATCATCATTGTCTTGCGTCATCGATTGCGGAAAATAACTAAATGAATAATGATGAGAATCAAGCAAATTTTTAAACTGTGAAATCATTACAGACGCTTGTTGCGATTGTGATTGTAAAAGCTAGGCTTCTATATAAGACCCTAGATTTCATTGAAAATCCAACCATACAATTTGTTCACTTTAAAATTTATTTTCCAAATTCCAATTGATATGTACTATTGGAGTTAATTTCTACTTCTTGAAAATAGGAGAACTCTAACATTACCCAACTGCTCTAACAAAACCCACATTACTAATGTATTTAAATGGGATTAACATTTTGGATTTTGATCTTTACAACATATATGTGTATAGAAGATTGAACACTGTACATCACCTGAGAATTTTCTTCACTTCCTGATTCAGTCTCAGACTCGCTGTCACTGTCCGAGGAATCTTCTTCATCTCCAGACTCTTCCTCCCCATCTTCTTCACCTTCAGAACTCTCTCCTGATCCCTCGGATTCTGTAAAATACACTACACATTTACACGGTTTTTATTAACACGTTTACTACCACAATATACAAAATTTTTTATTCATATGCGACGGCCAGTCTACCCACAGACTGCCGACGCATATATGCGATGGCTGGTCACATTAAAATAAACTGATGTTGCATATTTCTGTCGGTGTCCCAATGTTATTATAAAGCTTATATCTCCGTAACGGTCTGAGGCCCTGAATTCTCTGCAGTGGTCTACAGGGATGTCCGTCGCATATGTGCGTCACTTGGTCTGTGGATATGATGATTAGTGACGTCATATGATAGTTGGCAAAACTGTTTTTCACTTTGCTGCATCACTGGCCCATGGTCTGCGTATACTTATAACCAAGTGACACTCGGTCTATGTGTAATATTAAAATGTATTCCTCGGTCTGTGGCAACGACCACAGCGTCGCATATATGTAGCAATTGTCGCATATATGTAGCAAATATATGTAGCAGGGAAAATGTTAATAATTAATGTTAATAAATTAATGTTAAGAATTTTGAAAACTATATAATCAACAGTTCCTGATGTAACTAACCAGTCATCAAAGTTTGAGCAAAACTAAACTTCAATGATTCGGCACGTTCAATTTATCTTTGCGAAGTGGGTATTTTTTCACTTCAGATTTTATTTTGAAATAAATCATAATAGTCATAAGAGTGAACTCTTTTTACACTTAGAACAATTTTTTTGGCGGTTGGACGAACATGAGGTACGACACCTTCACAGTCAACAAATAAGTCACAACTAACCATCAGGCGGTGAACTGTCACTCTCAGAGTAGAATGACTTCTTCTTCTTCTGCTGTTTCTGCGGAGGGTAGTCTGTGTCCTGGGTGGCAGGTGGTGGGGTGGAGGTGTCTGCAACGTTACGTTCACTAGAGCTCGGAGCCACGTCAGGGAACTGAGGCAGATCATGGTAGCCAGCCGCTCTCGTGTTGATATAGTGAGACAAGGAACCCAGCTGTAGCTCCTCTTGGTCTGCAATAAAATTGTCTACTCTCAGTCATATTCATTTTGATTTTACTGTCCATGAAACTATAGCAAGTTAGCAACACAGATTGAATATACTCCCTTATTAATTTTTTTTTATCAGATCAAGAGAATTTCAATTTATGTTATACTTATAATATTTTATTACAAGAAGCAAAAAAAGTGGGCTTAGAAGTAAATGGGACTAAAATAAACACAAAACAGACCACTTAGAAGTGTTAAACTACAGGTTCTACAAAGCAAACACATTTAAATATCTGGGAGTAACAGTAACAGACAATAACAGAGAAGATGTTGAAATTCAAAACAGAATCACGGCAGCAGAAAAATCATATTGGAGCTTAGTAAAATGATTCAAAAGTAAACTTCTATCAAAAACTACCAAAATAAGAAAGTATAAACCCATAGTGCAACCTGTAGTGCTATAGGTTCATAGACTTTAAAAAAAATCACAAAAAAGACTTATTTATTACTTTTGAAAATAATTAATTGAGAAGGATTTTTGGACCAATAAAAGACGGAGACTCGTGGAGAATAAGAAAAATTAGAGAGTAAAGGGAGTTATATAGGGAACCAGATATTGTCGGAGTGGCAAAGAGTAGAAGGTTAAGGTGGCTGGGCCACATTCAACGCAGAGGTGAGTGAGAGATGGTAAAGAAAGTGATGAGAGGTACCCCGTAGGGCAGGAGACCATTGGGAAGACTAAGGATGCGATGGGTTGACGAGGTAACAAAGAACCTAAAGAAGAGCATGGGAGCAAGACATGTAGCTAACAGAAGACAGAGAGCATGAGGCAGAGGTTTGCTGGAAACTGTGTTAACCATCCAATAAAATTTAGGCTTACATATAGTAGAAACATATAAGTTAGGTCTATATATTTTCACTCCTACCTTCCATTTGTACAATTCTTTTCTTTCAAGATTTTTTCTTGTTTTGACTACTACACACACAGTTTACTGGTGGTTTTTCCTTCGCAATTTTCTAAGTTAGATTTCAGTTACTTTCTTGGGATCATCAACCAAATCCCAAAACATAATAAAAACATTGAAAAAAATGTTTTTTAACAAAAATTTACAATAATCTCTTAAAGTTCATCCTATTAGAGTTATAAAAACCTTGAAACTTAGAGATGAGCTGAGGCGCTGGCTTGGTGGCCAAGAATATCTGCTTGGCGTACTGCGACAGAGGGTTCTCAGTGAGCACAAACTGTCGCAGGAACCTAGAGCGGTCGCGGATGTCGTAGTTCTGGTCGTACCTCGCCAGACTAAACACATACTGACACAACAGTCTGGTCTGGGCTGGGTTGGTCAGGTACAACTTCACTGCCAAGTTCAACACTTGAAGTTTAACTATGTCCTCCTGTAAACATAAAAAGACTCAGGTTATAGTGGCACAAATAATAGTACATGTAGCCTATTTGTGGTTTGGGCTGAGAGTATGCTTAAGTAGGTAGGAATACAAAGCAGTAAATTGAAAGCAAGGAATCAATGACAAATTTTGTGAGACAAATAATTAATATAGGCTAATAGGAGGAGCAAGCTGCTCTAGTGGTACAGCACTTTGCTCCCCATGATCCACATACAAATCCCACTAATCACCCATAACTTAAAATAACCATGGGCCGACGCCACGACCCTCTGTTAGGTCTCGCTTGAAGTAATGTATAAAACGGTTCCAACCTACCGTCCAGGTGATGATGGATGTAAGATTTACAACTTGTTTCCCTACTATGGCAGCATCAGTTGACACAAATACAAGTATAATATTTTCTCCCAAGTTTGACTCGTCAGATACCTTGAAACACCAATATAATGCAGTACACACATAAATTGCACATCACATCCAAAGTGAGGCCAGGGACACACTTACCGGCAAAACCGCCGGACGCCGGATCCGGCGGCGCCGGAGCAAGTTGAAATACACAGGAAGGCATGGGGCAGGCCACACTTCTCCGGTTCGGTGAATCTGCCGATCCGGCGGGAAAATGCTCCGGCAACACCGCCGGATATTCTCTACCTCGCCGGACCGCCGGATCGGCGGTTTCGCCGGAGCAGCGGGTAGCGGGGCATTGTGCCTTATGGAGATGAACACACTTACCGGCGAAACAGCCGGACTGCCACTGCCCCCACTCCTCAGTCGTGGTTCAACCCTCGTGGGTGGTGATTGTTTATGATATATTGCAGTGTCAAGTGGTGTATTGAGTTTTGTTTTGCTATTTAGTTAATTTATTTTTAGTCTGTTTAGTTTTCTATATCATCATGGTAGATGTTGATATGGATTTACTTATTAGTTTGGTTCGTGAGATACTTGAACTTTATGATAGGTCCTTGGAAGTTTACAAAGACAAAAACAAAACAAGGGACAGCAGCAGCTGGTGACAAATTTGTGCCGCACTGAATCCAGCCTTTCCAGCGTCTCATGTATGTGTCTTGTCCTTGTATTTGCACTGTAACCTTCAATAGTAGCTCGTCAAATGAGGGGACAGACATTCAAAAGTAATTAAAAAAACTTATTTTCTTCATTTCTCAACTGTAAAAATAGAGTGTTAAAAGCTCCATGTAGCTGTCTGTTCTCCAGATGTACCCAAACAGTTCGGTGTTGTTTTCTCTTCCTTCTGTGGTAGATCAAACACAACAAGGCCAACTTTTGAGGTCTTGACAGCACCATTTCTAAGACTAAACTGTACTAGAACTGTACTAGTCTAAGACAAAACTCATTCAGAGTTCATTGCACTCTATTTATTGTCGCCGGCTCCGGCAAAATAGCTATCGCCGGAACAAGTGTGTTCTGACCCTCAACCTCCGGCGGATCCGCGGGATCCGGCGCTCGGCGGTTTCGCCGGTAAGTGTGTCCCTGGCCTGAGGAGGAATATTAGTATTTTGTGTCACCTGATGATATTAAAGTAATAGCGAAACACGTTGTGAGCAACTACGCAACGAAACTACTCAGAAGAGGTGATAGGCAAAAGAAACATGTGTATACAGTATACAGTCCAAGTGGGAGTTGTGAGTTACATTACAAACTTATAATTTGACATAACATTATTAAAACCAGGTAGGCCTACCACAGATAACATCATGTCATGACCCAAGTGAATAGCAGGGTTAAAACAATTAAATTTAATTTTTAATATACCATTACGTGATGCTACAGTTAAAACGAAACAAGTGGTGAAAAATCCCATTATGAAACTGTTGACACCAAGTTAGCGTCATAATCGATTCTTAGTATTATGGTATTTACATTTCGTCAAAGGTGTGTTTATATATCACACCGGTTTTTAAATAATTATTAAACACCCTACAACATTGGACAGTTAAAGCATTGTGACATTACCTCCTGAATGAAGGACTTTGCCATTTTCCTGAGCACGTCAGGCGCTATGTTGGGAACCAGCTGACTATACTCCCCCAGCAGCCACAGTATGGAGGCTCGCGCCTGCGGCACAGTGATGGAGTCCAACAGGGCGGACATCTGCGAGATGATGTCTTTGTGACGCGAGGGCTGGGACTGTAGTAGCTTCTTGATCACTACAACACTCTCTGCTACCACTGCCTCTGTTACAGACACAATCAGGTTGGGATAAATTATCTTTCATTAATTAGCAATTTTAGGGAATTTGATAAAAAAGTTATGAGATAGGCCGCATAATTAATTTGGTTAACTCCTTTAAAAGTACTTATCCTTTATACTTGAGCACTGCACTTAGTCGTTGGTTTATGAATTTGTCGCAAGGTAATCACAAGTCGGGTGTAAGTGTTGAATGAATTCTCATACATCGTTTTCAGAATTGCCACTATGGGTCAACAGTGCTGACTTTTGAGTACTAAAGACTAAAATTGGAATAGTTTTTTGAGTTACCACTACGAGTCAAAAATGCTGAATACCGAATTCTTGACCTTGGGTCAGAATAGTTCTCCAATTTGTTACTACGAGTCAGCAACACTAGTGTCGGCTAGAGTACTCGAGTACTGAATAGATTTGAAGAAGAATAAAGTAAATTTAAGTGAAGGTAATAAAAATATAACTAACAAGAAAAAATACAGTAAAACCCCTTTTTATTGCACCCTATTAAACCAAACCCTGATCTTTGTCTTCATAAAAATTCATATCAAACTGGACAAAGAGCTAGACAACAGGATTGGTCCCTTAAGTATTTGGTCCGGTTTGACCACAGAATGTAGGCCTAATGGAGCTGACAACAACCTAGATAACATGGATACTGTGATATAAAGTTCAGATAACAACTATCAATTATTGTAAGAAGTAGATTTGTGTATGCATTTGTGTACTTTAAGATGAGAGTAGTTAAAACTACATAAAAACTACTTTATAGACCACTTTAAATAGCCACAATTTGAATATATACTATTAATTATCAACCAAAACAATTGCTCACTCTCTTTAAGTTGATGAGTTTACTTCAAAATTTAACCGACAGTTCCAAAAAGAGAACAATTGTTAGGTAAAGTAACTTTTTTTTGTCCTAGGACGTTAGGCACGAGCCCGGGATTGTGTTTCACATTACTTCAGGCTAGACATAGGGGTTGCGGCATTATCACTTAGATAAAATCCATTGGTGATTTGGCGGGATTTGAACCCCTGGACCTCAGGTACCGAAGTCCTGTGCTCTAACCACTAGACTAGCTCGCTCCCCCATTCACCCCGTTAGGTAAAGTAATACTAACCATCCCTGTTGGACAACATTGAGACTAGTCCACTGAGGCAGCTATCCGTCACTTCCTTGATGTTAGACGCACATCTGTAACATTAAAACCCTGTTTCAGCAAACCTGCATGTTCATCCTTATTATTTATCCAAACTTTGAACCCTTTGTGATAAGAATTTATGCACAGTGTTTGCCGTTCAGGCTCTTCCTTGCTTGTCACAAGTACATTTCTGCCCGAATAACCAGAGCTGAAAGCGCACGGTAGTCCCGTAAGCAAATACCGGGACTTTTATACTTTTTCAATGAAATGGCGACCATACAAAGTAGGTATTTTAAGCCAAGTATGAATTGAGATGAGTGTAGGATGAGTGTCGCGATCTTGTAGTCTTGTTAGTGACTAAGGCCGACTTATTCCTTAGACACAGCTGTTGATTAATAGCCCATACAGCTGGTTTCTTCTGTACCTTACTTCTCCGTGTTACCCAGCTATGTATTGTAGCTTTTTCTCTAGATTTCAACTTTAAGTGTCCTTTCTCTTCAACCTAAACTCTGAAGGTATATTAGAAAAAAAATCAGTGTATTGGTATATTTTATATGGAAATCGAGCTTACAGTATCCATTGTCGATCAGACTATAAAATAAAAACTAAGAATATTTGTTCTCTAAAGTTTGAACTGATAGCTTGGATATTTTCACCAATGTTAACATGCACGAAGCTTTACCTTCCGATTGCCTGTATTGTAGCAGCTACAAACTCCTTGTCCGGGTTTGAGATGTAGGTTTGGAACTCTCGTAGGATGAAGGAGATGCTGCTCTCAGTAGCCAAGGTGGTCAATATCTCCAGCTTGAGCAGTTTGATGTGTGTTGGGTCACTTGTGCGGACAAAGAAGCTCTTCATAAAAGGTTCAAACATGGCCTGAAACCAAACTCAACATGAAATTGTATTTTCTTTCATATTAATTATAGTACAATCTTGATTATCCAATTCAAACAGGCCGCAGCAAGATTATGAGCAGAAAGGTTGGAAAATAAAGAGAATATTTAAAAAATGAAATATTTTATGTTTGAGACTTGAGGGGTGATTGAGAGGTATACAGGACTAAGGGATAAACAAACTGGCTCAGCAAGTGTATGTAGCTGTGTGTGATGTGTATGTCAAACTGGCTCAGTCGTTATCAGGCAGCCGATGCGGAAGGAGCTCGCTATCTGATCGTCCTTTGCCCGGTCCTGAGCGTCGCATACACCGTGACTACATGCTAGAATATCGTTACAAACTGATATTCCGAGTTTTCTGATATACCTTACTTAAAAATATTGCTTAAACTATGGCCGAGAAGTGTGTGAAGTGCAATGTGGAGTGCAATGTGGACGGGTCTGACGCTGTGAAGTGCTCGGAGTGCGGCGATGTGCTACACGTGGCCTGTGCGGGACTGAACGTGCAGAGGAAGACGCGAAAAAATAATCAGTTCAAGTGCGACAAATGTAAAGAGTCGGCGGTATCCATTTCAAGTGCTAGTGACAGTGAGGAGTCGTCGCTACTTAAAGCAATAAATAGTTTGCGCGCCGATTTCACCGATACACTTGGTAAAAAACTCTCAGAAATGGAGAAGAAGATTAATGAATCGATCCATGGTAAGCTTAACGAAATAAATGATAAAATTAATTCGTGGCAAGAGACAGTAGTAATTTCAATAACAGATCTTAAATCTGAAAACGAACTGTTAAGAGAGGAGTGTGGCGTGCTCAAATCACGGTGTGATGACCTGTCCAAGCAGGTCGGCACTTTGACGGAAGACCTTCAGGATCTGCAACAATATAGCAGAATAGACAATCTAGAGATCGTCGGAGTCCCCCTGACTAAGGACGAGGATGTCTACGCAGTGCTGCAAGCAGTCGCCAACGCTATAAAGACGCCATGGAGGCGTGATGACATCTCTATCGCGCACCGAGTACCTTCGAGTCGCCAGCGCTTCCCTAACATCATCGTGCGCTTCATCAGACGGACTGCCAAGCATGCATGGATCAGCTCAGCCAAAGATCTACCAGAGAACCTGACAGCCTTCATGGTCCACCGAAGCTTCCCCAACTCACCTGTATTCATTAACGAACACCTGTCAGCTCATAGTAAGGCAACTTTAAGCCACGCCAAGACATTAGTTAAAGAAAAACGTTTAGCATATGCATGGGCGAAGGAGGGTAAAATCCTTGTGAAGAAGACACCGAACGAGAAAGCGAAGCGAGTGAAGAACGTCGAGGAGGTGGAGGCGGCAGCGGTGGCGGCAGCGGGGGCGGCAGCGGGGGCGGCAGTGGGGGCGGCGGCTCAGCAGCAGTCCAGCGACAAAGACAATGGTGAAGCAAAGGGACCAGTGTGAAGATCGCCAGGAAGTTTAAAAAACAATATCATGCTGTAAATATCTTAAGGTATATATCAGCCACATTAATATTAACTTATCCACTTTTATTTTTGCACGCACCAAGTTTTACTTATATTCTAGGTACAGTATCTGTTTATTTATTTATATAAATTATTTTCAATCTAAATTTTTTTACTAAGATCATTGCCTGTTCATATATTTCTTGTTTACTAATTTATAAGCTAGGGCAAAAGAGAAATATTTTTGGCATTTTAACCATTTAATTTTGAAAGTTTTAATAATGTAATACCTTAACTCAATCAATTTAATAATGTAAATTAAGTGTTAATGATTTCAATTCAGGAAAATATATACAATTATTTTGCAAGGGCATGAAACAATTATTTATAAAAACAATTCATTACATTTAAATTCATATTTAGTTTTATACAACAAAAGAAAAATGAATTGCACTTATTTATTATGTTAATTGCTTTATTATATTTATATTAATTTTTATATATATTTTTTATTATATTTATTATATTAAATTTGCAAGTGATGAAGAATGCAGCTGATAGGTAACTTTTATTTGTGATTGATAGTTAAAAACAGACATTATGGGACGGAGGGACTGGGTGGGGTTTTTCAGGGGCGTATAGGGTTTTGTTTTGTTTTAATCTTAAATAGCACACAAGTAATTTGTTTATATTTTTCCCATAAGGAGACATGGATGATTCCAATTTGTTATTTGATCAATATAGGCAGATAGACTGTACAATAGTAGATAGGTTTAAGGACATAAGTTCTGTTTTTAAAAGTAGTTCATTCAACTTTTTATACATGAATGCTCGTAGTTATAATAAAAATTTTGATACACTTTTATTAATGTTACAGTCAATCGATGTAAGGTTTGATTTCATGGCGCTTGGGGAGACATGGCTTGGTGGGGATGGGGGGTCGGGGTTGGACATAGAGGGGTATAAATTGAATTGTACAACTCGGGGGAAAAATAAAAATGATGGGGTCTTGATGTATGTGAGTGAGAGAGTGAATGTGTGTGAATGCAAGGAACTGGAGCTGGGTGACGTGCATGGACTGACTTTGGACTTTGTCCATCAAGGAACTAGATCTAACGTTCTGACTGTGTACCGTACACATGACAGTGACTTAGACAACTTTACTAACGCTCTTAGACATTACTATGAGAACAAAAATGACTGTAACACATACGTCTTCATGGGTGACACTAACGCCAACTTACTAGAAACTGACTACAAAACTGAACGCTACTTGGACGTTTTTTACGAACATGGTTTTATATGTGGCATAAATACACCTACTAGAGTAGTAGGAAAAAGTCAAACAAATATTGACCACATATTTGTAAACCACAATGGTTATACTGCCTTACAAACTGCTGTGGTGAGGACGGACATAACTGATCACTACAGTATCTGCCTACAAATAAGTCACAACCCCTACACTAAGGACACGTCACACAACACAAACACTTACATTGACAAAACATCTTTGAGCTTAAACATTAAAGAGTGTGATTGGTCAGATGTCACACACGCGTGTGACGTTAACACATCTACAGACATTCTTTTTGGCAAAATTAAAGATTGTGTAAACAAATCCACAAAACAAAGACCTGTTCTCAAACCGAGGCTGAGGCCTCTCAAACCATGGATCACCCATGACTTAGTACGAAAAATAAGGGATAGGGACAAATTGAGCAAGTTAGTTAGAAGACAACCTTTTAATATGGAATTGATTTCAAAATTAAAGAGTTAAAAATGAGTTAAATCAAGATACAAAACTAGCTAAATACAATTACTTCAGAGAAAAACTTTCACATTCAAAAAATAATCCAAAAACATTCTGGAGTACTTTAAACGAATTAGCGGGTAGAGGTAATAAAAAGGACATTTTCCCACTTACACAATTTACAGGAAACAGACTGAACGTTGACAATGACTATAGATTACAGGTAGCCGACGAATTTAATGAGTACTTCACCAACGTTGGTCCCAACTTGGCAGAAAATATAGATTCGGGCGGTTTACCTGTGGTCGATGACACTGACCACTCTGTTGACTCCATCCTCACGCTTCACACTGTCACTGAACAGGAACTGTACACTTACGTCACTAGACTGCGAGGTGGCTCAGCTCCAGGGTATGATTGTGTATCAGCTGAACTACTCAAAGACAACTGGGAGACACTTAAACAACCACTGCTACATATAACTAACACAAGTATTCAAAATGGTATATTCCCTAATGCCTACAAAATTGCCAAGGTAATTCCCCTCTTCAAGTCTGGTGACGTCACCAATATCTCAAATTTTAGGCCAATTTCTTTGCTAAGTGTGTTCACTAAGATTTTAGAAAAAATTATCAAAGATCAAGTTTGTCAATAGAATAGTCATTTATTCAGTCTTTAAACAATACATTATTGTAATTGACATCGTCATTATTATTGTAAAAGATATAAGATGCAATACTTATAATTATTAAAATTTGACATGAAAATTCCAAAATATAGGCTGCCCTTATTGAACATTTAACAGGTTTAAAATAATTTTTTTTAAATAGGCAAACTTAACAAACTTAAATTATGAATAATAGTGGGTCTTTCTTAAAAAGGCTAATGGTTATCACAGGTGTACAATGAACATAGAGGGACAAAATTACTAACATTATCACAGATGGAATATGGTAAAAAAAACATATCAAAATAGTGAACATGAAATATATGAAAATTAATTACAGTAATAAAAATCCTAGCCTAACTTAAAACAAAATTTCTAACATTATCACAGATGGAATATGGTAAAAAACATACAAAATAGTGAACATGAAAAATATGAAAATTAATTACAGTAATAAAAATCCTAGCCTAACTTAAAAGCATTTAACATTAGCAAAAAATGAGATCACCTTCAAAAAATTCCTCAATTTTGTAAAATGGGTGAGATGAAAGCCACATAGTTAATTTTCTTTTAAAGACACTTAACGGCAAGGACTTGACTTGGGGATGAAGCTTATTAAATAATTTAATACCTAAAACAAAATGACTGTTTGCAGTTTTCTGTAGCCTACAGTGAGTGTTATAACCATGAATGTCTTGGCGCAAATCATACTCTTTTTCCTTTTTCTTAACATTAATCAGACAATGCAGGATAAAAACATTAATGACAGTTAATATGCCAGTGCCCACAAATAACGGTTTACATTACCTTAATCAGCACGATATTTTGACACCCCGCCAGTTTGGTTTCAGAAAATCAAAAAACATCACAGATGCATTGTTCGAGGTTAATAAAGATATAAATTTGGCCATCAGTAGAGGCAGACGTGTTATTCTGGTATTTTTTGACTTGGCCAAGGCTTTTGATTCAGTTGAGAGATCATTTCTTAAAAAAAAATTAGAACTGATAGGTGTTAAAGGCGTGGCTCTAAAATGGTTCCGATCTTATTTTGATGATAGAAAACAGTTTGTAAATATAAATGGAATTGATGGGAATCTTGGTAATGTGGATTTTGGTGTGGTCCAAGGTAGTACGCTAGGGCCTTTACAATTCTTGATATACATTAATAATCTTGTGAAATTGGACATTGAAGGTGAATTTTACCTCTTCGCCGATGATACCTTAGTTTTATTCCAAGGCGATACTTGGGACTCAGCTTTTGCCAATGCCGAAAGAGGTGTATCGAAAATTAAAAAATGGTTTGATCAGAATATTTTAACGCTAAACGTCACCAAAACAAAATTAATTCCAATTTCCTTAAGAGCTCGAAGTGACACACTTCGCAACGAAATCAAAATTCATTCATGTGGTCAGGATACCGGAAATAACTGTATTTGTCCAGTAATTAATAGAGTTCAAAATTATAAATATCTTGGAGTTGTATTTGATTCGAAATTGTCATGGTCAGATCACGTGTCATATTTAAACAAAACGTTAAGAAAGTTGATATTTGCTTTTTGTCAACTACACCAATTCCTTGAAAAAGATGAAATTAAAAATGCATATTTTGCTTATGTACAGTCGCTGCTTGAGGGGGGGATAATTGCCTGGGGTGGTGCTTACAGCAATATTCTACAACCTCTCGTTGTAACACAAAAGGCAATCATAAAAGCGGCACTCGGCAGGTGTAGGCAATACCCTTCTGAAACTCTGTTCACTGAAATGAATGTGCTTGATGTAAGACAACTTTTCATCAGAACAGTTTCACTGTTTATTTACAAACACCATGAGACACTCTTTGACCGTCCACAACATGACCATAATACTCGACGTGCACTAGGCCAAGGTATATGCTTACCCAGACTTACAAAGACATTTTCTACCACTAACTGTTATTACGTTGCACACATCATTTATTCTAACCTTCCACTAGACTTACGAGAATACGACAGACACTCAATTTCAACGTACAAAAAACACACTGTTCAGTGGCTTAATCTCATTGGTAGGGATGGAGCTAATAGTTTATTAGTTTCTATATACAGACAATAGGTTGACAGCTGATACAGGTGTGCGTGAGATTGCTGTGTGCGTGAGAGTTTGTGTGCGTGTGTGTGTGTATGTGTGTGCAGTTCTCGATTCTGTGCCACAGGGACAGAGCATTGACGGCCCTAGTACCCTAGGGCTACCAGCCGCTTGTTGGTGTTGGGACGAGGACAGCTGAGTGTATCAGTGTGTGGTAGTGTGGGTGTGTGTGTGTGTGTGTGTGTGTGTGTGTGTGTGTGTGTATGTGGGGGGAGGGTGGGGGGGGGGCGATCGGGTTGGTTAGGGGTGGGGTAGGTCATTATGACACTGATAGTTGTTATCTACATGGTAGATTAAAAGTACATAGTGGGCCTAATCTACTATGTCATGACTCCGCTGGCGCTTTGGAGTCTAGCCTGCACAGTAATTATTAGAAGTACAGTACCTGTTTTTTGTTATCAAACCTTCTCAATTCTTTCTAATCAAACATCATACGACTCACTCCCACGCACGGGTTATCCCATGTGGGATTAATTTCGTTTATTTTTAGTTATACATTTTAAAACCTATTTCTATTGCATATACAGTCCACTCTTGGTAATTCAAACACTTGATAATTCAAAACTTTCGATAATTCAAAATGAAGGCTCAGTCCCTAGAGAATCTCTCAATATTTCAAATTTTTACCATGCATTTTGATACACTCGGTATTTCAAAGTCCAAATAGAGGGCAGGTCAATTTGTAACACGCAGTAATTCGAAGTTTCGTCGGAAAAACACTCTATATAATTCGAAGTAACTCAGTAATTCAAAGTTTCGTCGGTTAACACTCTATAATTCGAAGTCATGCTGTAATTCGAAGTTTCGTCGAAAAAACACTCTATAAATCAAAGTCACGCAGTAATTCGAAGTTTAGTCGGCAAAACACTCTATAATTCGAAGTGATCTCTTCCTGTTATAACAGGAAACTATACAGTACAGTACATCCTGTTCCCATGGTAGGCTAGTGTTGGACGTTTTGATGTTTGTTTAGTTAGAGCAGTAGTCTGAGTTAGTTCGCTGACTTGTTTTTCTAAGTTGGCAATGCGATCTCTAGATTGCGCGACATCTCCTTGAGCACAAACGTAGTTGTCGACAGCTGATAGTTCAGCTATTGGCGAAATATATAGCGGTAAATAACAGACTTCTTTGCAACTAAAGTAACTGAAAAATAAGCTGTTGATTGTTTAAAAGTGTACTAAAATACGGTACAGTATGATGTTTTATTGTAACGTGCTGTACCTTTGTATGTATTAAAAAATGAACTCTCTGTAATTCGAATGGTTTATTTTTCTCCCGATAAATCGAACTCTTGATAATTCAAAACTCTTGATAATTCAAATTTATATGCTTGGCCCACCAATTTCGAATTACCAAGAGTCTACTGTATTACATTTTGTAAATATTGTCTATTTTATACGAAATAAAGGATTTTGATTAGATTTGATTTGATTTGAACTGTTTGATATGCAGTATGCTAAAACAATTATGGTACAGTCAAAAGAAGGTGTCCTAAGTCCGTGGCACTTGGAAGATCTACAGAGTACAGACAGGGAAGCAGGATGTTTTGACATACTGCACACATTTTCTAGGTATAAATAGTTTGCAAAAAAAGTTGAAGTACGGGAAAAGTCAGCGAATCTGAGATTATGACTCTACTGAACATTTACTCACGTGCATATTTGAACTGTTCACAGAAATAGTCATAATGGAACATTACATAAAAAATATCTTGAAAAATAAGAGGCATATAAACCGTTGTTTAATTCTTCGACCTATGAAAGAACCTTAATTTGCTAAAAAGACAAATCTTTTACCTAACAATCTTATCTTGGTCTAGACTATCATGCTCAACTAACAATTGACATACCTTTCTGACGGTGGCGATTGAGGCGATACAGTGCAGCACAACCGACTGAACTTCCCTGTGAGACCTCAGCAGTCTGATGAGGGACTTGGCCACCACGGGAACCTCACTGCGAGGAGCCAGGTGATGGTACAACTGTGCTACTGACATCACTACCTGCGGTACAACATACACGATTACCAATAGTTTGTACCTCTTTGACAGTTTTACCCTTTACTCTTGAGTATAAATATCAAGAATTCAAGAGTGTAATCAGCTATGAGCTAATTACATCACACAACCTATTTAAACCCAGCCCAGCCCAATCAAACCTAAACTAAACTGAACCAAACTAATACAACCCAATTTAATAAATATAAGAATAGCCTTATCTCTCCTGACCTAATCCAAATATTGACCTAGTCCAAACGGAAGAAATTGAATTTAAAATGACCTAACAAAAGCTAATCAAACCCAACACTACCTAATCTAGCTTAGAATGAAGTAACCTGACACAACATAACCTAAAATATCCGAAACCTAACCTAACTTTTCAACCACTTCAATACCAACCAATACTTCAGCTACAAAGGTTTATCAAACCTGTCAAACCATTCAACTCGTAATTGAAGAGAACAAATATATCATATTTTTATGTATTTTTGCATTAAATTTTAAATTGAATAAAGGAATAAACATTAACTGTAGAATATCATACAAATACTGCCTATTATGGTGTACGCACTACGTAACTACACGGCGCTCCCAGCGGTGTCCGCCAGAAGAATCTATGGTAAATGCAGCACGGCTGACAGTCTATATTTAATTCTTTTAGTTTATGGTACTGCATTTGTTAGCAATTGTGCGTCTGAACAATTACAGAAAAAGTGTATCACTACAACCTATAAATTTAATTTTTATACAAAATGTAACTTACAGATGCATTGCGGCTCTGCAGAAGGGGTTTTGCATTGCGTAGAAGTAGCTTATGGTCAGGATCCAGACTGACTGTGTGCTTCTTGGTCTTGGGCTCCTCTTCATCATCATAGAAGGGCTTGTTGTCATCCGAGTCTATTCCTGCGTCCTGTATTAGAGGAATGTCCAGGATTAATATTAATGAGTAAACTTATACAGCCTTTAAGGTCTCAGGTGTTATCATTGCAATATTAATTTCTAAATGTTTCTTCAGAAATTTAAATTCTTGGTAACTGAAATCGACTCGCTCACTTTCATTAAGAAAAGGCAGAACATAATCCAATTGAAGGTATGCACTTGCTAAGCTCCTTGTCAGAAAACTTGTTCTCAAGTACATGGTTTAAATTTCATGACAGTTGCAATAGAAGACCTCACTGTACTCACATCAATGTTGGGGTCAATGAACTGTGTGCGAGCATAGCGGGACAGCATGTTGATAATGATGACTTGTCCCCACTCGTCCACGTCCACCAGCAGGTTACACAACTTGCGGTAGTTGCGATGGATCAGATCTATTCTCTCGGGACACACCTGTGGGAAATAAAAATGTTTTATATCACTGAGAACTCAGGATTTTTTTTTAACTGTCCGAAACATCGGTCTTATCTTCTAAGAAAATTGTGTGTCAGCTTAGGGCCTGTTTGTAATTGACGAGCCTTTGGTAAATAGGTAAAATAGGCGAGCGGAACAAAGAAAATTACCAAACAGCTAGCAGTAACGGTACCTACTTGAAAAAAATTAAGTTTAAAATTGGTTTCACAAACATCCTTATTTCTCGTACCGTTCTCAACTGAGTTAATATTTTTGAATTGAAAATAAACTTAGAAACAAATTTCAAGAAAAAGTCGTTTAAGTGTTTGGAATTTGTTTTAGAAAATCATAGTCTTGAATTTGTAGGTAAGGTACCTGAGAAAAATAGATTGAAAATACCCGTAACATGAATGCACTTATTTTGTGACATGGCAAAGACGGAACACTGATGAGAAACGTACAAGCAAATCAGAGGAGAAAATATTGAATCTCTAGTAAAAAAAATTGAAAGTAAATAAACATTAGACAGAAATATTGTACCTCCTCAAACGCCATGACAGCCGAACCCACCACCAACGTGGTTCTGTCAGACAGCAGCTTCTCTATGACAAGAATCAGCTCGTCCTTCTGGTCAGGGTCTAGGCTAAAAGTACACGAACACATTCAAAACTACAGTTTTAATAATTCTAAACTTAAAGATTACTGTAAATTTTAGTCGAGCGTTCTTATTACCACTATTGACAATTAAGGCTGAAGATTGCCCAAAAGCCAAGATCATTCTCAGTGGGTGGACTGAAAGTTCATGGTGTTGTAACAAAATAATAGCAGTTAATGTACATTACTAAAACTACACCCAAGACAACTAAATTATTTGTTGCAAGGCAGTAGGCATGACACAGATAAAATCACATTGCTAACGTTGGTACACAATTTAAGAGCGTTTGTTATAGTTAAGGGGAAGTCCCACTGAAAATTGTCAAAAATTGTCAAAAATTTCAAAAATTTCGGATTTTTATTTTTTGTACCTATTTTTTATTAAAATCTTCCTATATAAGAAAAACACAACAATTTGATGTAAATTTACATATTTCATGGAGTAAAAAATATTTAAAGTTGAATGTGCACTCGAATTTTTGGTGAAATAAACATCACTTCGGTGTTTTTCTTGTATAATCACGGATTGTACATATGCCTGAAAAAGATTTTTATGTAAGTATATTGACCAAAAATGTTCTTAAAAGTAATACTAGCAGTACTTGTAAACAATAAAAACTTAAATAGTGAACTAGGAGCTCTTATTTTGGCTAAAATTTAACAAAAACCATTGATTTTAGAAAACGCGCGATTCTTGAAAGTAGAGAAAACCATGAGTTGGTTTACTAAAAATGCTAAGGCTCAAAAGGTATTAGAGATACAGCAGTGAAACTTTGCATGCTTACTCTTTACATATACAGGGACAAAGTTATGTATGGGCTTTCAATTATCTAAAGAAACTTTAATTATTTAATTTTTTTGTAATATTGCGAAAATTTTATTGTTATTTTCTTAATTTGAAAACTTGTAGAAATAATATCTGAAGAGATAATTTCAAACTAATACATAACTTTGTTTGCAGTAATATACTCTATCAAATGACACTTCATTCATCTATCTACTACTTATAGTTAAAAAGCCTTAGCGGTTCTTGTGAAAGGCTGCAAATTCGGTTAAAATGGTGGTGGGGGGAGGGGGGTGGTTTACAAGTGGTCAAAAAATAGTTATTTTGTTTCAAGTAGAGTAATTTTACCTAATAAAAATTAAAATATCTCAAAATAATACATAGTTAAGAATTTATAATTTTCAGTGGGACCTCCCTTTAACTTACTCTTAGTTTCATGTAAATTAAATTTTAATTCAAGACATGCTTATAAATGGATATATCGTCATAACACAATGGTCTAAATTTAACTAAAATTTACTAAACAATATTCCTCAAGTAGGCTACAATGAATATTCTCCTTTTTCTAGCAAGTATGATTAAAGAGTTTAACTAACCAAAATGTCAATGTGCAATACACTTATAGATGGAGGCTTTAAATTGAACAGAGAAATATTAATTAGCAAAACCTAAATATTTTAATGGCTTGTATAAAAAATAAAAATCATGAAATTGCATAGCCTACCAGTAAAGTTTTGGGATGGCATGAGCAGCAGTTTTCCGGACATATGGAGACATGTCTGATGCAGAGTCCTTGATGGCCAACATAACAATCGGAACAATAACTGGAACTCGGATACTTGACAGCACTCGCAGAGCACTGGCTCGGATCAGTTGGTTAGGGTCCTAAAAAAAATTGTTATCAGACATGATGATAACTGTTATAATACTGTATCTAGTATTAAGTCCCTACAACAGAACAACTTTTATTTTATGCTTATTTAACTAGCTCATTCAGCTGATTAATTAGCCAGGATCAGAATTTAATCATATCCTAATAATCAGGAACAGCTGGATCCAGTTTCGAACCATCAAAAAGCTTATTACTCAGGATCGACCCGGCAACCTTTTGGTTTTTTGGAGAGCACTATAACCACATAGATACCCAGAATATAAGTAACTTAACAGAACAATCCTTAAAATATCTACTAACTTAAGACCATTTCAATATATTTGTAATCATGTTTCAACCACTCTTCAGTCTCTGGTTCTAAATCTTAGTATGTGGAGAAAATGCACCAGTATTTCAAGAGAAACAAGAAATATTATTTGCCTCATTGCAAATGAGTTTCTTCCTTTTTGGCTACCTACTTTTTTTTTAGCTTCTACGACCATTAGTGTAGCAAGGTTACGATCAGTTCTAAGGCAGTACCGGTAGGGAAGAATAATACTGGGAAGTCATACGGTATATACAGGACCTTTCTGCAAGGACATATTTGGGATTCCACTGTTGCAAATTCCATTAACTAGTCAACCTATAAAGCTTAAGGACATAAAAAATAGTTCATAAGTCGTGTTTAAAGAATTTTCAAAGAGGCCTGGGACCCCTGGTCGCAACTCGAATTGGACCCTTTTTCGCCATTTGTTTGCCCTTCTTATCATTCTACACATTTAGTTTCGACCACAGTGTAGACCCATTCCAATATAATGGGTTCTGCAACTGTTATATTTTTAAACTTATGATTAGGCCTAGTCCCAACTTTAGAACTTTTCTAAAAAGTCTATCACACCATTTGGGCCTACTGGATCATGATAGTAGACATTCTTATATTTAAGTATTATCTGATACCTTTAGAGCTCGTTGGAAAGTAGAGATGGAGAGCAACGCCAGGTCTTGCTGTTCCTCTGCGTATCTGACTAGGTAAACGTACACCAGCTTCTTGACTTCTATGTTTTTAGACACAACGTTTTTCACTACAGCTGGAAACAAGTCGGAAGCGTCCCTGCCCTTTGCAACCATCTAAAACAGCACACAAAATAACCTTTAACTAACTTAAATGAAAGAAAATGCCATTTTCATGTTTTTTAGTTTGAAGAAACTTTGATGAATTTGACGCAATTAAAGTTTAAGAGCAATGTAAAATATGTTATTTCAACTTAATATCCTCCTGAGCAGTTTATGGTATTGTCAAATGCACATGGGGGAGGGGGAGGTGTCATTTTATTCCTCTGTTCATCAGTTGTAAGATAATTAATAATAAGCGTTACTGATCCAGGCCTAATCATAAAAACCATAAAACAATGCTCGCCATAATAAACTTGATGGTTAAATAAGTTTTACAAGGCTAAACCATTTCTAAATGCTATCAACTCACCCCTATGATTCTTTTCATAGCTTCCAACTTCATACTATCTTTGTTCATGTCCAGCATTTGCTTTAGATCTTCATGTCTAAAAAAGAAAACACTTGGCGTATAAAAATGTATTTAAAAATATAGCTTGCAAGCACTTTTGACATAGCTTCTCTGTCCCACTAGTCTAATGCCTTGTCCACACATGGCGATTTGTCTGCGGAAACATTGTCTGCCGACTGTCTCCGGAGTGTTGCCATTTGTCTCCAGCGATGTCTCCAGTAAGTCGGCCGACTGTCGGCAGACAAATTTCGGTGTTTCTGGAGACAAAATACAGTGTTTTCTGTTTCCCGTTCGAATGGGAAACACGGAGACAAGAGACAAAACTTTTGTCTCAAGTCTGCATGTGTGGACATGTCTGAAGACAGGAGACTGGATACAAGCCGAAGGTGTTCAACATTCGGCCCATTTTGCAAAGCGGTAATATTATGATTTTTGGGCGGTAATAAAATAAAAGAGATGGATTGAGTTTATTGAAAGTTTTGGAATTAGTTTTCAATAATTTATATTATTATATGACATTTTATTGAATTGTTCATCTCGTCAAGTTTAAAATTTTAGGACCAACAAAGCCCAGTAAAAGTATGAAATCTTTAGAAGTCAACCTAGTGAGGTTCCTAAATCCTTCACCTAATCTGAAGGTCTGATAGAAGATTGTGACCATAGTACGAACCTTGCTCAAGAAAATGTTCTCCAATGGGTCCATCATTGTCTATTCCTTGGTTCTTAGCACCATGGTTCTGAAGCCCGGACAGGATATAATTACGTCATCCTCGTTTGCCAAACCAACAAACACAGAAACACTGGCTGGCTAGTGTGGACGCAAAACACATCGGAAACTTGTATCCAAAACTGTGTTGACAGACTGTCTGCTGACTGTCCAAGTTGACTTAACTTTAGTTTTGGAGGAGTATGTTGCTAGAAGGATTATGGAAGTCATCGGACATTATGTAGCCTAGTTGAGGCCCAACAAAATCTATGGATTCTTACAGTAGACTCAATAGCCACTACACATTAACCTTGTAGTCATTTAAACATAGCAGGGCTTAACTGATAAGAGACAAATATTTCTTTTATGTGAATTTCCCATAGGAGAGAATAAGCTATCAGGTACTGTAGGTCTAATGGTATTAAGACCTGAATCCGGGGCCGAATTCATCTCATACTAATTTAAGTTAACATTTCATTATAAAAACTCTCCCCTATAGCAGCAAAACCTAAGTACTGTTAAATTAATGATATTAAGTAGGGAATAAACATGAAAGTTTTTAGATTAGTGAAAATAGAATAAGGAAAATGAAAAAAATCGCTTAGTCTGCAGGTTTGTGGGGCGGTGGTAGGCTATCATCTGTTTGTTGTAGGTAGGTATTTATTGAAAGAAATAATACACCTAGGTATTTCAAGCTACTGGCACTTACTTTTTGTAATCGGAGTTGAAAAAACTTCCTGAAGCAGGATCAGTGGCATAGTCGATGTCCGCACTCGCGGAGGAGCGATCATTGCTGTATGACCCGTTATTAGCCATGCTGTGAGCTGCAATTGCTCCTAGCCTGGTACAATGGAGATAAAATCTTTAAAGGCAAAATATACTGAGTAGGTGTGTAAAAAGAAATAGGCCAAGAACTTAACTTACCTAGGCTATTCCAGTAAGACAACAAATTGCTCGCTAAAAATGTTAAAGAATGCAATTATGCAGAGATCCTGCTGTATGTAATCGGATGAAATGTTAATTCAATATAAATGTTGAATATAAGCTCAAATACCAACAATAAAACTGTTGTTCCAAAGACAGAGCAAAATATCACAAAATTAAAGGAAAGTGCAGGACCTTGCAGGTCGGTAGCATAAGTTACTGTTAAAAAGAATGTATCGTACACTGTAAAATAATATGAAATTGGGTACACTTCCATATCTGTTGGCACAAACAACCGAATGAAAAATATCGATCGATATATCGTTTGGTTAGTTAGGTAAGGTTAACCTAACCAAACGATATATCGAACTAAACAATCGAATAATCAATATTACTCATTCGGTTGTTTGTGCCAACAGACATGGAAGTGTACCCATGAACTTAATTAAAAAACCCATTACATAATTGACATTAAATACAAACAGTCAATCAGAACCGTGGCATAATTAATAAATATGCCTTAGATAAGACACAAGTCTTGCCTAGGGCTTGGTTATCTGTCACTGTGAACTATCGAGCTAGGCTATTCTTAATAGTTCATTTTTACATTAGTATATACATCCCAAAAATTATTAGATTACGATATGTGTCAAAGTTTTACTGATTATAAGACTCAATGGTTCATGAGATAAGGTTATTAAAATACTGTAACTTACTATATGGACTTGTATTGATTTCCAATCCTTGGCTAGCCTATATGTCTTAAAATTAAATCTGGTCAAATCAAAGAAACGGTTTTGGTGACCATCAAAATAGGCCTACAAAAGTAAAAAAGTATATATTTAGCATAAATAATGTAATAAATACCACAAAACAGACGATACTTCTGTAAATTTAATAAATTGAAGATAACCTCACTTACATTTAAACAAAATGTAAGATATTTCGGCTGTTTCGGCCATCATTCGTGACAGTTCCAACAGTTAACAGCAGCTGACTATAGGAACGTCAGTGTATAGACACAGAGAAGGAGTAGTTCCAACCATAGATTATAATCACTAAATCTTATACTTGGTGGTCTTATACTTGGATAAGTTAGTACCATTGACTATACACCTCTACGTAGAGGTGTATAGTCAATGGTTAGTACAAACCAAGTTCAGGCGATTAAATCTTTCTATTGTCTGTTGTAAAAATTACAAATATATACCATTGAGCTAGAAAGTAAAAATACAAGTGGATGTAGCAGTGGTATGGCAACCCTGCTAAAAAAATCGACATGCTGTACAATTTTGTTATGATGGTACCAACTAGACGAATCGACCAGCTCATTTGCCCATGGCTTTTACTACAATCTCCCTAAATAGAATACTAAATTAGGAATAGCCCCTAGTTCCAGTGCTACTTCCAATGTACAGTTTGGCCAAAGTTTCTGTGCTCGCGCCTAGATCTGGTCTGGCGAGGATTTGGCTTGGCGGGGGTACTTTTGTGAAAACATTTGTGTCTTAATACTCACTTAAACCCTACCCCCAACTCTGCCAATAACCGGTACCCGTATGTTTTAGTTCGGCAAGTAGCGACCTGTCCGCGCGCACAGAAGTTTTGGCCGATCTGTACTTAATACTAACAAACAATAATGTCAGTGCATAAAATTGTGCAACTAAAACTCAATAATTTCAACCTCCAGTTGTTAGACTAGGACTAGACTATCAAGCGTTGCTAATTTTTAAAATATGGACACAAGTGCTTATGGTAAGCAATGGTGTCTCTCCACTATCTGACGAAGACCAGACGCTTGAAAGGACTGTAAAATGTTGGCAACGAAAAAGCGTTAAGTACGGTTTGTTGTTAGTATCGTGATAGTTTGCACATAGTATACTCTATTTAAAAAAAGGAATGCTTGCAATCTTATTATGTTAGACACCACCCACATACTTTTTGTCATTGCGGACTATGAATTAATAATGCTATGTTATACAACAATAATGATGGAATAAAAATATAATAAGATCGGGTCTTAAATCGTTCCCTTATAAAAACACAAACCAAGGCCAATGGTCTATCTAACCAAATAATTACAAAAATCTTTAGTAAGATGTTATAAGAAAATGCATAAGCTATAAAAATGCATAAAAAAGCTATAAAATTTAGGCCCTACTATGACATAAAACTAATAGGTTCGAACTGTCAGGCCACAAATTACGTAAGTTTAGAGTATGTGTTTGGTACACGGCCACCTTTCTTTCCAGGCCGCGACCTGGTAAAATCGGCAACGTCGCAAGTAGTGTTTTTTTAGCGCCAGACGTCCCATAAGATAACATGGCAGATAGGTGACACCAGCTCATTAATTCGCGTATTATTTATTTAAATTAATAAATAAAAATTTATTAAAAGATTGAAAATAAAACATAGAACTGAAAACCAAAACAATATAAATTGAAAATCTATTTATGTACATTTAAAATGGAGTCAATATTTTCTTAGTCCTGTAACCAAGCTTTCGTATTCTTAAAAAAAGCAAAAATACCATTAGGTGCCTCCAAACATAACAGCTGTAACAACACCACTTGCGACGTTGCCACTTCGAAGGCTGCGGTCTGGAGTAATAGGTAGCCGTGGTTTGGTGACTAAACAAACTCATAAGCTGGCAGCCCTGCTTCCTTTACTTAATTACCGACCAGCTGATATGGATTTTCAAATAAAATGATAACATTCGAAAAAAAATATCTATTGTTCGCTTTTTCATAAAATAGTGAAAAGAACATTTCTATAACCACGACCATCCTCATATTAGAGTCCTTAAACTCTTCCAAAGTATTTGATATATATATACTTTTATAATCAATATAACTTGCGATATTAAATTTCTTATGAAGTTTTGTTTGGCTTTGCGACCACTAGACCTCGCAAGTTTCTACGATTCCCGGCCAATCAAAGTTTAAATCCCAGATATTTATTTCGACATGGAATTATATCGGGTCGAAGGGCATCAATAAATAGCTCACTGATCTATAGTACATGTGGAAGCAGCTTTGTCGAGAAACTTTGTACTACCTATGTGGATGTTTTTAGAACCACTTAAGGTGACAAATAAGAAATAAAAATGGTGCATTAACGTGACTTCCTCTAAAGTAATAATAATAATAATAATAATAATAATAATAATCATGGAATAATTTGGCCATCCAATGAATTCTATGTTTGCAGAATACAATTTAATTAATTAAGAAAAAATGTTTATATCATCATTGTCGATGATAACAAGTAATTCGAAGATTTTGTTCGCATATTCGAACGAAGCATTTTACTTTCAACGTTATCAAATCGCGCATAAATAATTTTAGTGTTTACGAAAGTTATTATCCTAAATCCTACCCAAAAAAGTGTTACCAATAGAGGAACAGTAATTTAAAGCGATTGCATTTCGTTTTTCTTATATCCATACCCATAGGTTTTTTAAATAATTTTTGATGAAAACCACTAAAAATACAAGGAACATTTGGTGATTGCTAACAAACTAGACCTGTTGACTCTGTCTGCACTGCGACTTCATCGATCTTAGAGCTCTTGTCGTCACCTTCCTTTCCACAAGTAGATAGTGAATTATTGTTTGTTTCTGAAATGGAATTGAATTTGAATTTCAAAATCACCTTCATACCAAGCTTTATAGCTCTAGGACCACTCCACTATGCAATGGCCAATATAGACCTTGAAACTAACGCCGGTATATATATTCTGTTATTATGTTTTCTGTGATTTGGCCTACATATAAACTAGGATGAAAGGATGTCCAACATTCATTCGATGTTTTTAGCTTCAATATAGTGAACACAAGAACTTATACACATTAATTCTGTCGCAGTTCAAATTTCCAGAACGCAGTTTCAACTAAACATTTTCCAGCAAACGACTGCTCCTTCAGTTCGATCTTATGCTAAACGCAAAACAAAGTATACGGTATATTAGCAATTAATTACTTTGCATACTTGCTATTTTGTGCTTCCTATCCGCTAATGTTTCAGTGCATTGATGTAGACAGTACCGCATGTCTCTGGTAGAAGAAACTTACTGGAGCTGCTGTTCGTTGGCTTTAAGCCCCAAAAATGGACAAGTAAAGATCTGAAACTGATGGATGAGGACGACAAATCCACGAAGGAAAGTTTAATACACATTGAGGTGTATAGCTATTTCACCTGAAGCACACAATCACAGTACGGTGCAGTATTTGTGTTGTACATTAACATTATATTGAGAAGTCTTTCAAAACTTTTAAAAATAAAAATAGAAAAGGCAAAACTTTAAGGGTTGCAGTAAAGCTCTGCGTCTGAATGCATTCAAAGAGACCATTGACAGAATGAATGGGACCCTCCCAACACATGCATTAATAACGCACGCTCCCGGTACAGACCCTCGCAAGTTTTGTGCAAGCTCTCAGATTGCAATAACAAACATGATTGATTTTTTCATATTCAGAATGCTCGTATGTTTCAGGAGTATGACAAAGGAAGAAGGATGAATTGAGTTCGGAAGTTTTCATTCCTAAATGAAGTTTATACAAATTTGAGATAGACTTAAACAACATTAAACATTATTGTTGATTTTATCTGTGCCTTAATTAATGCATTTATCCCGAAGGAGAGCGGGGTTTAAAATAACACATTAAAATAAAGATATAATATTTTGTCAGTACTGTAGTTCCAATTTGTAACGAGCAACGTGTTATTTTTGCGGAATACCATTTTCGAATACCTCAGTCAAGGAAATACATTAAATCTGCTTGAGTAGCTTCGTAGACGATTTAATCACATAGCTCTTACATAGACAACTCAAAGGGAAGGAAATAAAATAAAATACTTTTTATCTGGTAGATATACACTTGAGTCAGACAGTAATTTCCTTGAATTAGATATGTGAAGAATAATTTTATTCCTATGTCACTAGGCACGAGCCCGGAATTGTTTTCACATTACTTCAGGCTAGAACTAGGGGTTACGGTAATATCACTTAGATAAAATCCATTGGTGATTTGGTGGGGTTTGAGCCCGGGACCCCAGGAACCGGAGTCTCGCGCTCTAACCACTAAAAATAATTTACGCCTTCCATACTGTACAATGCTAAAAAAAAAAACTTGATGCTGAACCATTAGTGTTAAACAACTCAATACCAAGTTGAAACAGGCTCTGACTGTATAAACTATAAATTAACTGAAGTACTTTCACGACAAATATCCTCCAGTGGAAATGTGCGGTTAGGTTTACCTCAGTTCCGCCGACGGTTCAGTGGTGCGGTTAGGTTAGGCTAGATTACACATCCCGCCTGATGCGATCCTATTGTGAAGTGATTATTGAATACATGTTTCTCATAATCCGTAGCTAATTGGTAACAATTCGCACTTGGAGTGGACGTCGACACACACACAAACACACACACACACAACCAGTTACGGGAGATAAAGCTGATTAACTGTCTATGGCAACCTTGATGCGAGCTGACCGCTTACAAAGTAGGCCTACGACGAGAGATCGTACAAAATAACAATGGAGAAGGGTGGAGTGAAATAACAATTTAATAACAATAAGAACATAAAATTTTTTATTAATATCATGAGTTGAAATTTTAATTCAACATTTCAACATTTTCAAGTCATATAATGTAGTAAAATATACATTATTATCAGAAAGAAACAACTATGCCACATCTATTGTGCTTTTGCAACAGTTTCGTAAGCCAGGGTGGTATTTTTTTTTTTAATTTAAAGAAAATATGCAATAACTCTTGTTAAAAAATTCGAGTTTAACAAATCTACATAAGATAACCGAGCAATAACATTTTAGTTTTGAGGTTATTTTAATAGGTATAGTAACAAGATTAGTCTTTTTTGACTTAACCACAATTCAAATTAAAATGTCTTCATTTTGGAGGGACTTTTTAAAGCCAAACATCGTCTAATCTATACAAAATACCGTTGTGTTACACGTTTAATATTTTCTTCCTTGTAAAAGCAGGCTTCAAAGGCCTAGGAGTTGCTATGTTGCTCACGACATTTTTATTCTTAAGACAAGCGATTTCTTTTTGGACGTCCTGAAGAGCGCTGCAAATACAAACCTCATTTTGGCCGTTTACAAAATTGTTCTTTATCAACCTAACGCTAGCCTCTAATTTAGAGACTCGCGCGTCTTCTTCTTCTAGTTCTTTCGCTCTGTCTAGATTTTCTCTGTCGCTTTTCATCTTTAAAATCACCCCTCTCAGAGTAGAGTTTTGCAATAAAGCGGTTTGTAACTCACACTCAGTCTTGTTCAACTTATCTTGCAACTCGGCATTGTCTTGTTCAAGGATTTTCAAAACACTTGTATCTTCATCAGGTGCATCTGTTTGTGTCTCAGAGGCCAGTTTCCAGATCTTATCAGTCTGTGTTTGTTTGAGGGTCTGTAGACTTCTAACCTCACTTATTAAATCGCTCCCGAAACTGTCCAAATGGCTTAGTACAATATTTTGGTGTTGTTTCTCACTCTTAAGGAGGGTTTCAATTTGGGTTAATTTGTTGAAAACTTTTCTTTCCAGCTCTAGTCCTCTCTGATTGGATTTTCTTTCGTCTTCTATCTAAAAGAAATAAATTACAAATAGTAGTAGTAGTAGGTATAAATTATTTAACATGTTCAACGTACTAATATAGTTGAAGTTAAAAATGAGCCAATGAATGGTATTTAAAATCAAATACCAATTATGTTTCTCATATTTGAAATCAAATCTTAGTTACGATTCAATCTACCAACATTACAAACACTAACGAATAAAGTATAGCACATAGTTTACAGGGTACTAGCATTGACTATATATACCTATATAGTCAATAGTACTAGGCATATTAGCATTACATTGGGAGAAGTTATTGCTACTACTGATCAACATTAAATTTGTGCAAACCTACATTTTACATTAGTTACATAACGTTTACACTGTATATTAATCTATTGAAACAACCATAAAGTTATATTACCTTCTCTGCGTACTTTTTCCACAGTTCCTTTTCCTCAACGACTTTCCCGTGGGCGTGCTTGGTGCTTTTCCATTTTCCCTTGACTTGATCCAACTCTTGGCACATTTTCTCCAACAAAACCTCCAAATCTTTCATTTTACTGGTTTTTAATTCAATTTCCTTTTGCGCCTCTGTGAGTTGTACAAGGGCTTCTCCTTCTGACAGTTTTGCCTTTTCAACCAACATTGAAATAATTAATTTTGTATACGAATGAACAATTTATTATATTCAAAATGCTTTGCTCTATTACAAAGACAAACAAATACACAAAACCTAAACTAGTGATTCTAAACGGAAAACCTTTCTGTAGAATCATAGTGGACAGTGGAAAGGAAATATAGAACCTAATCGCCCTCGCATAAGAAACGTATCCTACCTGAGTTATAATATCCAGAAAGTCTACATCAACTATGACCTCAATAACAAATAGCTATACTGATGCCAAAAACATGATGATCAACGGAGAGGTTCTGATTAATCTTGAGATGGTTTTAGCTACTAAAAATATTCATTAATAATTTATACAATTTTGAATAATTCTTATACTATAATTTATTTTATAACATTTTAATTTTCTATAAGTTTGAAGATAAAAAAGAGGGAAAATTTTCAATATTGCATACAGTCCAAAAGTCACCCGAAGAATTGTATTTGCCATTCCTCTTGGCCAAAGAAATGACACATGGACTATTTTCAGGTAGCCTCTTCACCACTACAACTAACATATACAATTTTCGACATACTGCAGCAAAGTCAGCCGTTTGATTACATTACATGCGTTGCGGGTCTAAAGTAGTATTTTTACGCCCTAGGGAGTAAAAGTCCGCCGTTGTAAACAGTTGCGAATTTCGATTGTAGGCAAACGCATAGATCGAAATTATTTATCGATTGGTTTATTAGGTTAGGTTATATCTTATTGTTGCATTCTTGTAAATTATTCGACAAATCGATTGTATAATGTACAGTAACACAATCGTAATGGACGAAATGATTGAGCTGATTATTTACATTAGCAGAATTGAAAACAAGTTGGAAGTCATTTTGAAGGATTAGATTATCTTGAAAATTATTTTAGTTTTTTAGCTTTGTTTGTTAGTTAATGATACAATATGACAAAGAAATATTGTTCATCACACTGCAAAACTTTATTTTCAACCCCTCGCTCATTATCCGAAATCGGCTTCGTCTCGGTCTTGAGCTCGGATTGAAAAGAGTCATTTTGCGCCCTAGTGATGAAATATACTAATCGCAGCCCAATTAGCCTGATGGTTCGTAACTATTCTTCTCGGATGTCTAAATGCTAGTTTCTTGCGTCAACTTCAACATCGTTTATACTCTACTAACAGTTTCAAGTTGTGTTTCCAGTTCTTCCAGTGTCTCCCGCGCTCCCCTCACCAACTCCTGGATGGTCATATTCTGTCTGGAACGAAGAGCATCTATCTCTTCCTCCTTGGCTGCCAGCTGCTTTGCATGCTGTAACTTCTGATCTTCTAGCTCTCTGGAAGCAATCATTTTCTATGGGCACAAAAATCCCGTACAACAAAATACATAACACAGGAATGACAGATAGCAAACTACTTGTCAATTATGTTTTGCGGCGTTGAACCAGAAATCAAGAACCATAATTTTTATGCAACATCATTGCCAATAATTCTAAACGAGAATTTCATCAAAAGTTGTATTAATCGTAAAGTTGATTTTATTTCTAAAGCGGAACTTTCGAATACAGTCTACCTTTAGAGGAGGCATACCCTTCCTACTGTTAAAGGGTGTATACAATAAAGTGGTTGAATATTTCGTTCATTTGAAATAATATCTAACTTCTAACCCTTTAAACATTTAAACTCACTTTGTCAACGACTCTAATAAATTAGCCAATTCTTCACGGGTGGAGTCCAGGGCCGTCTGTGTTTCTAAAAAAATATATAAAAATTAGGAATATCTGCTTGTATAATTAACACAAACTATCGTTAGACATAATGAAGAAGCTTTTTACTTGTATTGCTCAATTTTGATTTTTTCTTAGATCACTTTGTTCAGTGTCCAATCCCGTGATAAAAGGTACTCTTCCGTAGTCATAAGGTAACAAAATCTTTGTTACTTGTAACAAAAACATTGTAAACTAGCATAGAAATGCCCCATTTCCTCTTCACTACTACACAGCTCAAGTTTTATTTATCATCTAGATTTTTCTATGGGGATAATTTCTTAGCATTCAAAGCCTCATTGATTACATTACTTATACGGTCCATTCTGTATAATTGTGGACGTAGCTTATCATACCAAGAAGGAAGACCTGTTCGTCAATTGGGGATATTGCAACATTTTGTTTACATGAAAGTACAAAAATACGTCATAAAACACTTGTGTTTACTCACAAAACTGTTAATAGATATACAAGATGGTAAGTGTAATTCGCCTATTGGGCCAGATGATGATTGGAGTGTACAATCGAAATCGATCATTTTTTACCATCTTTTATTTGTATTTACCGTCTTGTGAGTAAACAATGTAATTATTACAAGTGTTATTTGACGAACTTTTGTACTATCAGGTAATTTAATAACACGTACGATTCTGATCAAGTTATTTACTTTGTTAACTTCTGCTTTCTACACACATAACAGCTGACAGCTGATGTTACCTTTAAGGCACAACCTGAGACTCCCCACCTCCTGGTCCCTCTCTGCCTTCTGTATCTCCGATCCTGTAACATGTGACTTGATGTTGGGGGTCACCTCCCCTCGCCACAAAGTCTTCTCCTCCACGTACTGTCTACGGCCCATCCACGTCTCCAGTAGTCGTGAGTCCATCTTCGGAAGCGTCCTCTGACAATAAAATAAATACAAATGTCTTTATTATAGTCTGTTCACAAAATTTAGGTGAGGGGAAGTTCTCCCACTACTTTTTTGTTTGTATATGTTGAAGCTGATTGAGGTTTTGGGTTAGGCCTACCTCAGCTGGTTGAGTTATTGTTTCGAAGGATCAAGTGGATGGGAGAGATTTCTTCCTCTAAAACCGCCTACAAAATGTAAATGCTGTATACGAAGTTAATCAATCTCAATAGATAACTGCCTTTAATCGTTTTTGTGTCTTTCCTGCCATGTTTAAAATGTGTATAGCTTATTCTGACGAAACCTCGTGTGGACCTCTTTTTTTAGCCTGGCAATGGCGGAGTTTAAACAAAACCGCATAAACATATGTAGCAAGTTTAAACGACACTATAGTACAGTTTTTTAAGGATTGTCTGAAGAGGTATGTTTAGCCATTGTTATATTATTCACTTCCCAAAGATGAGTAAAATGTACTATGTGAGTGAAAATTATTATATTTTTAAATCCTTACATGCTATATTGGTTTGGCAGTAACTATTTAAAGTGCGCATATGTAGCACTTTAAAATTACTAGGTTAGCTTTGAAATATAATGTATTTTATCATGGAGTACGTTTATAACTGAATTTTGATGGGATTTCGAGCCAAAACCAAACTACAACCTTTCTTGAACAGGTAACACTATTTTATAGGTCCAAACGCTAAAGCTAAGATAAAAAATTTAATTTTGGTTATTCTATGCTTTGACAAAGTTAAGTTAAATGTCTTGTAAGATTAAAGATAATCCAATGTGACGTTGAAGTTACGCTTTGCGTCTGTCGCCGCGGGGAGAAACATCGTAAAATGGAACAGCCGACGTTTGTGTAAGTTACGCACATTCTGGATCCCTCGAACTGCATACCTAATTATAATCAAATAGTATCCAAATTCCAACGAAAAAACTTAATGATTGGGTTCAGCTCATAATTATTGAGATCGTTAATCAATACTAGAACATCAGAACATTTTAAGATATGTTTCTAACATCAGTGTTGTTAAATGCATCCACTCACACTGTAAGTTGAAGTTAAAATTAGTCCATTACTCATGCGGATATCATCCACACACACAAACGCGAGCTATCAGTGTTTTCAATGTGATGAGAACACTACTACTTGCACTATTCATCATTCAATGTTTGTGGACTCTAAATTACGGTAATAGTTTTTTGTGAAAAACAGGCACAAAATAGATAAGCAAATTAATTATAAATTCATATTATAGCAAAAGTAGGCTATACCACTTGTCTAGTAGCTATTTTTTTTAAGTATATCCGGTAATATCCAGTACGCTACGTATAAAGGTAATCCTTGGCACTGATTCTGAGTCAAAATTATAAGTGTACAAACTAGTTTACGACATAAAGGATTTAACAAAAAACCCTTGACTAAGTAACAGCATAGCCGGAATATGTCCACCATGATATTTTATTAGCCCAAACTCAGAGTAATAAAACAAAATTTGTTTTGTTTTATTACTTATTACTCTGAGGCCCAACCTATTCTGTATTCCTTCCTTTACCTACCATGCAAAGGGTCTGTATTTGCTCGTTGTGGTTGGCTTCAGATCAAGCAATAAAAAAAACTTTAGTCTAAGAAAAACCAAAATGTGTCACTTGAAATATATTCAAACTTACCAAATATTACTTCACGTGGTATTCTTTCACTGAGTAAACATAAAATACTACAGATTGCATTTCATTTTTCAACTACACTAATTATTTATTTTAGAAAAATGACAACACGGTAAATATAAACAATGATAATCAAAACAGCTGTTTTACTATTTATTTATCTTGTATTCCAATGCCAGTATAATTTCGTCAAATATTAATAAATATACACGTAGATATAACCATAGGTAAAACGAGTATGTTTTATCTATGATATAACGATATATAACGATGGATTAAATGAAGTTTTCAAGGTTTATAGTCAAGATAGTTTTTTATCTTATATATTCCTTTACAAACGATTACGATTAAGCCTTCATGACATGGAGCCAAATTTGGATCTTGGTTTGTTCACATGATGATTTGGAAAATGAAGATGATACTGTTTCAATGAGTGAAGGAAAAAGAAAAAAATATAACGATAAAACGTTTTGCCACCAGTAAATCAAAATAATGATTAACTATATCTACATCCTTGTTCTGCTATCGCTGATACCAGTTTTCTTATTCATATTGTTAGTTTGTTTCGTATTTTACCAGTTAGGCAACAAAAATATTTATTCCTCGACGAAACCGTATACTCAACGTAAAACACTGGTTGTAGGCCTTCTATGATAATCAATACACACAAGATGACATCATTATTTGACAAGGTGGTGTTGAGTGAGTAATTTCCTAACCAAAAACATAGAATCTTTTTTCATCTAGATAATGACCATTGATAACAATTTTGTTATAAACGTGAGCTCATCTTTCCTGATGTCCAACAAAATGTTTTCGGCAAAAACAAGCTCAACGAAAGTGATCGATGTGGCAGTGGCGGCGAAGCCCCGTTTTCCCAACCCTAACCCTAACCTAGACAGCGCTGCGTGCAGTTACGGTGCAGCGAGCACAGACCAGCTGATCGGGTAGTTCGGGGGACGGCCGCTGCCGCAGATAGCGCTGCTGTCGCGCCGGCGTTTTGCTCCTCGCCCGAAAATCCATACCGTATTGTTCGGTGTGCTGCCTGTGGAAACGGCTATCGTCCGCAACTGCTCAGGTAGGTGTATCCTGAAATATAACAGTGTAATTATGTGATAAGTGATAAGACATGTAGGAAAATAAAGAGAGGAAAATGGGAATTTTGAGACTTAAAAAATCGATAAGGGTTGTTGATGCGACTGTAGTGACATATTGCCCTAATGTAGCCTACTCGTATATGTAAAAGGATTAATTTTAAAATTACCGTAGTATTTTTGTGAGGGATTTTTTTTAAATTATTCCTGAACATATTGAGGTTTGGTGTTAATCAATAATTGTACAATACGTGATGCAAGAGTTATTTTAACTAACATTGAGAGCAAAACAATACTTAAATGTGAATGAGTGTTCAAAATGAGGATTTAAATGTGTGTAGGTTTGTTTAAAAATCCGTCAATAATCGAATACTAGTATATTGAATTGTATCCTTATTATTCTCCGAGTTTAAAACAGTCAATTTTAGTACCGAAATCATGGTGTAAATTATAGCATACATTACCTAAACATGGTATAAAGCACTAATCATAAGAGTTTTCCAAAGCATTGATATGTATTGATTTTAAATATAGTTATAATCAATGTAGGTTCTACATGGACTGTGCGTCTGACTCAATTGATTTTAATAACTTTTTAACTAGCCAAATCTGCACTTTTGCATAAAGGAAGCAAGCAATATAACTAGTGCAGCAAACCCTCATTAATTGGCCTAATTGGATATCCAAGTCGTCTGGATTAAATTGAATAAACTTAACTTGCAGAAACGTAGCTTTGCGTTACAGTTTGAATATGCCTTTTATGTAATAAAAAAAACTCTCTACAGCTTGAATAGTGTGTTCTGAATTTCAGCTCTAAAACTTGCACAATAAAATTAATCGAGTAGTTTAAAATTACCCGAATGGATTTTTCTCAAACCGTTGTCAAATAGTTGTCCGGATTACGTGGAGGTCGTATTAACGAGGTTCACTGCATTCAGGAATATTTTTATCACTTCCTATGCAGACTATATTATAGACCTTTAACATGCAAGCGCAGGAACTGTACTGTATAGGGGAGCGGCGCGCCTATCTTAACGTGGGAATTAATTGTTGTTTCCTCTTTCAATTAAATATTCTTAAAATATCCTAGCATAGTTTGATGAGCGCTAATCTTTAATGAGTATATAATAAAGGGATTTTAAATTAATATAATTATATCATGTGGTTGCTATAAAAACTCTCAAAATTGTTATATTAAATTAAAAATATATACGCGTTTATTTTTTTATTATTAGTTGTGTTGATTATGAAATGATGCATACAATTAAGGATTCAAACTGTTGATGTCTGCTATGTCTATTATTTGACTGGTTAATCTGGTCGCCGCTGGTTGGCTCCGTTAGTTTTAAAATTTAAAGTTTTCCTAAATTACATATTCAATTGTAGTTTTGGTTTTAAAGAATAAATTATTTGATTGATTATACACACTTTATTAACATACTGTACTTAAAAAATCACATCACATCAGTATATATAAGTAAAAATATTGAAAATGTAACTCTAATTCATCTTTGCCTCATTTTCACATGAGTATTTAGTTTGTGTAACCTGTATAATGTGATATGTTGTTATTAAAAAAATATATACTTGATGTACGCAAAAAGGTATGATTGACGTCCCTGGAGTAGTCTGTATCTTCTCATCAATCAATACTACGCTAATACAATGTACCACCCATAGTTAAAACATTCAAATTCCCATAAAGCGTGCTTATAGTAAATATAGTAGGCTATGTTCAAAAGCATTTATTCTAAATGTACAGATTAAGAAAAATAAACTATATAGGCCTAAACTGTTTCAAATTGTTAATGGGATGTATTAAAGGCTAATGATAAAGAATATAACAATTTATTTAAAAGACAGCTAAACTGGTTGACGTCATCTTTAGCCAATTTAAAATTTCAAACTAATTAAATTCAAAACGTTAATAGAATAAATTTGTTTAGAGGAAAATTGTAAACAAATATGTAATCAACTTTTTTATACGTCTTAAAATAATTGGGCTACTAATGTGATTTAAATTTTGATAAAATAATTCATCTACACAAATGATATTTAGCAAAAGTATAGTAGTTTTTTTTTATTTGGATGGATGGACATTTAAAGAATAACCATAGATTAACTATTATATTAGTCCTTCAATGGAATATTATTGTTTTTGATTGTGACCTCTTTTAGAATAATAAAGGATTTTGTAATAATAGATTTTTGGACAAAATTTTAATGTAAAAGTTATACTAGATGATTTAAGGGCTGGTCTGGTAAAACATTGCATTTGATTACTTCTAATATTAGCTGTTGTCCTTGTGGTTAATTGAGTTCGTTGAATAGATTTTGTTTTGCGTGATGTTGTCGGAGATTGAAATTTATCAAACAATAACTCTTTATTTCACAATATGTAAATATATCGTCAACGCCACATAATACTACAATACACGAAAGCATGTCTATAACTGTAATACCGCCAAGAACAGGACGCGCAATAAAGTAGTGCTCACCAGCTGATTTCATACATTAGTGTTACCAAGTAAACCGAAGTAAGAACACAACACCCAATCAAAGCGTCTATGACGTCATACAAGATGCGCAGCAAAGTAGTGCTAACCAGATGATAATGCTTGACAATGTTTAACACGTAACCAATGAGAGCGTTTTGTCAACAATATACTTGACTACAGCACCTATGACGTCACAAAAGATGAGCGTGTCACTTACCTTAAAGCTGTAAGAGATCATGATTAGGTGCAAATTGGAGAATATTCCTATGTTCAGGAATTGGCAGATAAGGGTATACTATTCCTTTAGCGCGTACTATAGCCTATATGATGGTACCTGTCTCCTTAACCACTCCACAGATAGATGGAGGGCTAGGAGACAGGTTCCGCCATACATACTTTAGTAACATTTTCAACCAGGTAAAAGAGTGTGGTATCCAGAAAGGATTGCTAACTTGGACTCTAAAGTAAATCATCTTCCATATAACGCTTCCTAACGCTATATTAAACACTAATATTTTCAAAGGAGCCTAAGAGTTGTGCTCAGGAAATTGTGAGGGGGATATAATTTGTAAAAGTCGTGCCGTGATTTTACATACATATTATGCTATCTCTCAAGGAAGATTCGTTTTGTACCGATGGGGCGAGGCTAGTCTAGTGGTCAGAGCACGTGACTTATGTCGTGAAGTGTTGGGTTCAAATCCTACCAATTACCCTACCTTTAGCGATGTCAAATTGCTGTAACCCAATGGCTCAAGCTTTAGATTTATAAATTTAGACAAAAATAAAAGTTTAGCTACGTGAGAATACCTTTTCTGTATTTATCTTGGGTATTTTAATTATGTTTGAATACTGAAACAAACTCACGGCTTCAGACATTTAACACTATTAAAAATAATGAATGAGTTTCTTAAACTCTCAATAAAACTTTTGTGGTAATGCAGCAACTAGAGGCCCCCGAAGCCCAGATAAGACCGTTCCTCACCCATCAAGTACATAAAGATTCACATAAAGATCTCACAGGCAAGAACTGTCTCCGTCATGTTGATCTCTCTCCACCAAGAACCATACGATTATCCTAATTATCGTGATGGCGATACCTAAATCTTTAGTTACATTCGATAAAAAACTTTAGGAAAATTTCTAAGATAGTATGGCATTTAATTTCCATGAATCTTCCCAGAGGTGTTCTTCGCCGCGTTGTGAGTCGGTCTAGACTCTAGACTTAGACCTGCCAGTGTTCAATTAGCCTTAACGTCCCAATTAAGTAATGAGTCACTTTCCTGTCTGCTCTGCTACCTTCTGTACTGTGGCAGACAAACGTTTATTTCACAGGTAATGAAAACAACTGCGCCGTCGATGGATTATGAGTTACCCCAACATTTCTAGAGCATTTAGATGTCAACTTACGTCCAGTTAAGTGCGCTAATGTGCACTAAATTTTTATCTAATGTTTTAGGCATAATTTTTCTATGATTCATACATTACCATAGATAAAACATACTCCCTGAGTATATTTCTCATCCTTATGGAACAGCTGAAGCCAATTTTATTCCAAGCTCTGTCCGCTGTACTGTAAAGGTACTGGTTTGTTTACAATTTGTTTCTTGCTATTTCAGTCATTTAATACCTCGTTTAACCAAATAAAACGAATTAATCATAAACAACTCGTCCACTAGTTATATAACAAACTAGCTGTAACCCGCGGGCTTTGCCCCGTTTAACTTCTTAATTTTCAAGATTATATCGATCGCATGGCTCAATCACGTCCTGGTTGAAGTTTGTTCGCTACGCTCACTCACCTTTAGGTTGGAACTCGTTCGCTACGCTAACTCGCCTCCAGGTTGAAGCTCGTTCGCTACGCTCACTCACCTTTTGGTTGCAAATTAGCTGTTGTCATAAATGTAAAAGAAATAATAGTGCTGCACCCTGTTGGTAATCCTTGTAACTTTAATGCTATTGAACATCATAGAACAGAACCAACTTGTTTAATTGAAACAGCTGTTAAGATTCAATAATTCCATTTCTCATAAGGTTAACATGGGAAACTCCAGAGCCACTGGGGCGGAGCCCAAAAGGATTTTTGAAATAAGAATATGCCTATATGTTAATCGGGAATGTGAGCTATCATCATGCCAAATTTCAGCCCAATCCGACCAGTATTTTTCGCGTTCACTTGTCACAAACATACATCCATACATCCATACATCCAAACTTTCTCATTTATAATATTAGTAGGATAGTAGAAATTAGCCCTAAAATAACATAAACAAAATTTCGCCACACTAGCGATCAGTGTCAACGGACATGTACTAGACACGAAAACTAGCATCAAAATGTATAAAAGATGAGAAGTCTACTTGTGTTTAGTCTACCTATCACATTACTTAGAACACGGTAGGATTAGCAAATGAATGGTTTGAATTTGTTTGAACGCTTTAAAATCAGTAAAATTACAAAAGTAAAAAGGAAACATAAAAATTACTCTT